AAATATTTTTTTATTGATTTCAGAGAGGAAGGGAGAGGGAGATAGAAAAATCAATGATGAGAATTATTGATCGGCTGCTCAATCCCACTGGGGATCAAGCCTGCAATCTGGGTATGTGCCCCTGATCAGAATCAAACCCGGGACCCTTAAGTCCACAGGCCAACGCTCTATCAACTGAGCCAAACCAGCTAGGGCGCAAACTTTTTTTGTAAATATAAAGAATTCATTCTAAAATAACAAAAGTAGCCCTAACCGGTTTGGCTCAGCGGATAGAGCATCGGCCTGTGGACTCAAGGGTCCCAGGTTTGATTCTGGTCAAGGGCATGGACCTTGGTTGCAGGCACAAACCCAGTAGGGAGTGTGCAGGAGGCAGCTGATGGATGTTTCTCTCTCATCGATGTTTCTAACTCTCTACCCCTCTCCCTTCCTCTCTGTAAAAAAAAACCAATAAAATATATTAAAATAAATAAATAAATAAATAAAAATAAAATAACAAAAGTACAGTGTAGTGTACTTATCAAATTTATTTTGGAAGAACATTTTTTTTAAATATATTTTATTGATTTTTTACAGAGAGGAAGGGAGAGAGAGATAGAGAGCCAGAAACATCGATGAGAGAGAAACATCCATCAGCTGCCTCCTGCACATCTCTCACTGGGGACATGCCCGCAACCCAGGCACACGCCCTTGACCGGAATCGAACCCGGGACCCTTCAGTCTGCAGGCCGACGCTCCATCCACTGAGCCAAACCGGTTTCGGCTGGAAGAACATTTAAATACCTAAACCAGTAATAGTTGTTTATTATGATTATCAAGTACTATGTACTTTACTTAATTATGTGATATACTTTTATACGACTGGCAGCGCAGTACGGTTGTTTACACCAGCATCACCACAAACATGTAAGTCGTTGCACTGCATGACAATGACTACATCAGAGGCTATGACAGTGATGGCGAACCTTTTGAGCTCAGCGTGTCAGCATTTTGAAAAACCCTAACTTAGCTCTGGTGCCGTGTGACATACAGAAATCTTTTGATATTCGCAACCATAGTAAAACAAAGACTTATATTTTTGATACTTATTTTATATATTTAAAAGCCATTTAACAAAGAAAAATCAACAAAAAAGTGAGTTCGCGGTGTCTTAGGTTCGCCATCACTGGGCTATGATGTCACTAGGCATTTGGAGTTTTCCAGCTCCTTTACAACCTTACGGGACTGCTACGGCATATGTGGTCTGTCACTGACAAAAACATCATTATATGGTACATGACTATACACACGTTTCTTCATAGGACTGTTGCAAAGTACAGGGAGAGCTAAGGATAGGGGTCTATGGACCAAGTAAGTATTTGACTTCAGTAGGGAGCATTTCTTAAGATGGACAGGATCCAGGGTGTAGTTGCAAGTGTAAGAGAATGAACTGTGATGATGATCTGTAAATTGGAAGAGGCCATGGCAGTGGCTGAGTCATCCTCGTGAACACTGAAGTCACCCAGTTGGCATGCAGAGGACCAGAGGACTGGGACACAGGTCCTGTCATTACTTGATGGGCAGGCTCTGCCAGAACATGATTTTGCTTGGGGAACCACACCCAGGCCCAGGAAAGCTGAAGTGACCATTCCCTTTATAACCAACAGCTGAAAAAGATTTCTAAGCCCTAGAAGGGCTGCTTCTTTCAAGTAATATTTGATCAGTCTCCCCCTAAATTTAGACACAAATAGTGTCGAAATGGAACTCATCCACATGATGTAAGCACAAAATAAGTTTTCTAGCTTCATTTTGTGGAACCGTGTTTACATTCAGGCTTTAAGGTCTGACTTTGGGATATTGGAAAAGAAATTCACGGAATCTTGGCCCAGACAGAATAGCTCAGATCACTGGGGAAAGATGGGATTTCTCAATAAACAGTGTTATAACAAATGGTTTTCCATGTTTAAAAATTGAAATTAGATCCATGTACACAAAAATCGATTTTGGATGGAATAAGAAATTTCTATGTGAAAGTGAGAGATAATAGAAACAATAAATATTGGTCTCTGCCCCTGGTTCCTGGCACAGAACTCCTAAAACCCTTTTCCTAAGTGATAAGAACACTAGGATGCCCTAGCTGGGTATCTCAGTTGGCTAGAGTGTCACCCTGACACACCAAGGTGGTGGGTTTGTTCCCTGGTCAGGGCACATATAAGAAGCAACCAATGAATGCATACATAAGTGGAACAGCCCTGGCCGGTGTGTTCAATGGTCAGAGCACCAGCCCACATACCAAAGGGTCCCAGGTTCGATTCCCAGTCAAGAACACATACCCGGGTTGCAGGTTCGATCCCTGGCCCCCATGGGAGCGTGTGCAGGAGGCAACTAATCAATCTCTCTCTCTCCCCCTCTACCTATATCCCTCCCACTCTCTTTCTGAAAAGCAATGGAAAAAATATCCTCTGGTGAGGATTAATAAAAAAATTAATTAAATAAATAAATAAAGGACAACTTTTAAAAAGTGGAAAGATGCCCTGGCCGATGTGGATCAGTTGGTTGGAGCATCATCCCGTACACCAAAAGGTGGCGGGTTCGATTCCTGATCAGTGCGCACACGCAGGTTTCGGTTAGGTTTGATCCCTAGTCAGGGTGCATGCAGGAGGCAGCCAATGGATGTTTCTCTCTCACATCAGTGTTTCTTTCTCCATCTCTTACCCGCTTCCTCTCTCTAAAAAAAAAAAAAAAAAAAAAAAAAAATCAATTAAAAAATTTTTTTAAAAAGTGAAAGGACAAGTCATAGATAGGGAGAACATATTTACAACATATATAACCAATAATGATTTAATAAAGCATTCCTTCAGAACATCAATATATAGACAACCCAAAAGGAAAATGGGACAAAAAATATGAAGAGACATTTCACAAAAAATGGAAATACAAAGACTTATTTAGAAATATATGAAAAGATGATCAAGCTCAATCTCATTAGTAATCAGGGAAATACAGAGTAAGACCACAATGAGTTCTTCTATCCTCACTAGACTAGCAGAAAGTTAAAGCCTACCAACATCACGGTCTGGAAACAACGAGAACAGGAATTCTTACACTGCTGGAGGGCAGTTCACACAACCACTCTGAGGAACCATTTGGCATCACCCTGTGAAGGGCCCTGAAGAAAACTGTGCACAGGTGCATTAGGACAGATGTAAAAAACCCACTGTAACCCTGTTGATAACAGAAATACAACTGGCAGCAATGGAAATGTCCATCAACAGGAAAATAAAGACAGCAGTCTATTCACAGAATACTATACAACCATGGAAAATGAAGCAACAACTTTGATGAAACTCCAGAAACAAAACAGCTGTTAAAAGACCAAGTCCCGCCGAAACCGGTTTGGCTCAGTGGATAGAGCGTCAGCCTGCAGACTGAAGGGTCTCAGGTTCGATTCCAGTCAAGGGCATGTACCTGGGTTGCGGGCACATCCCCAGTGGGAGATGTGCAGGAGGCAGCTGATCGATGTTTCTCTCTCATCGATGTTTCTGACTCTCTATCTCTCTCCCTTCCTCTATGTGAAAAATCAATAAAATATATTTAAAAGAAAAAGAAAAAAAGACCAAGTCCCAAAAGTCTCACAGTATAAAAGTATTTTTTATAAAGCTCAAAAACAAGCAAAGCTGAACATATTCTGGTCAGGAAGCTATGTGTATATGAGAAAACTGAAAGGAAAAAATAAAAATTCAGGCTAATAGTTATCTTTGAGGAGGATGTGGAGAGGTGGCATAGGGGCCCAGCTGGCATGGTTCAGTGGTTGAGTATTGACCTATGAACCAGCTCATGGTTCGATTCCCAGTCAAGGCACATGCCCGGGTTGCGGACTCAATCCCCAGTGTGGGGCGTGCAGGAGGCAGCCCATCAATGATTCTCTCTCATCATTGATGTTTCTATGTCTCTCTCTCTCTCCCTTTCTCTCTGAAATCAATAAAAAATATATTTAAAAAATAAAACAAAAAATAAAGGCAGAGGGCCCTGGCCAGTGTGGCTCAGTTGGTTGTAGCGTCGGCCTATCAAAAGGTTGCGGATTTAATTCTGTCGGAGCATGTATGGAAGGCAACCAATCGATGTTCTCTCTCACATCTGTTCCTCTCTTCCTTCCGTCTCTAAAATCATTAAGCATATCCTTGGGTGAGGATTTTAAAAAAAAAGGCCTAGATATGTGACAAGGAAATATTCTAGCTCTTAAATTTGAGTGGCTTCAGATATGTTCAGTTTGTTTTTATGTTTCATGCTTTATATGGAAGCATTTCATGTGTCAAATATTATTTACCTCTTTCATAAAATAAAGGGGGTGGGTAATGTGAATTCTGCATTCTATCCCACACAAAAAGCTTTCCTCTACATTTGGTGCTCCAGGGCGTCACAGAGCCCTTTGTGAAAGTCAGGCCTGAGGACCGCTGACCTTTGGTGTTGACTGCTGCCTACTTCTCCATCTCTGCTGCCACTCACCCAAGCAGTCCTGAGCTGCTCAATTCCTCCGAAGCACCTGCGCCCCATCAGCACATACTGGAAACATCCCCATCTGTTCCTCGAGGATGAAAATCGTTTCACCATTAGAGGGCTCAAATGTTACCTCCAGGAGCCTTCAGAGGCTGCAAGAGTTTGGCCCTTTCTTCTCGCTGACTCCAGAGAGCCTTGCTCACGCCGCTTTGGGTACATAGCAGACGTGTCTAATCGCTCATTTATGCGCCAGCCCTGCCCTAGACTCAGAGTCCCCAGAGGCCAGTACTGTTTTCTGTTCACCTCTGTGGCCCTAGAGCCCAACACAGCGACTCTCAGCAAAGCTTCTCTTAATGCAAGTAAAACAGTCCCAGGGCAGGAGAAATGTGAGGAGACGGTCATGGACGGAGATGGGAAGGGGAGTGGGTCAGGATTTAGAGACCCCACATTGAAGACACTGAGAACTCAACAGGGAACGCGCTCCTTCATGCCATATCCTCCTCTCTCTCACACTCAGAGAACTACTATTTGAAGAAAAAAAAAAAAAAGTTGCCAAGCTTTATTTAGTTGTATTGGTTAACATCTAGCCCTATATCCCACCCACCCTGTGCAGCCCCTGGGTAAACTCAGCTACCCTTCCCTCCAGTCTCATTTCTTGTCCTCCTCCTTCTTTTCTTTCTTGCCATCCTTGGTGGCCTGGGAGGCCAGGGAGCCCATGGCGTTTCGAATGGCCTCATTGTTGGGGTCCACACCTGGAAGGTTCTCCAGGACGCTCTGCAGGAACTCGGGGTCCTGCATCACGTCGTAATCATCCTCCTCCTGGAAAAGGGCAGTGTCAGTGTGGGGCGGGGGGGGCGGGGAGCACACTGCTGCCTGCGCCCCTCTCTCCAGTCTGGGGGTGAGGGACACCTCTGGCCAAAGGCAGGAAGGAAGATTCAGGAAAACACCCAGTATCTATATAGTATGAATGCAAACACGTGTCATCTCCATAGAGAAGAAACCTGAGAGCTTTGCTTCCTGGGCTCGAAGGGTAAAAACACACCATCACTTTTAGGTTTCCGGCTATCACACACCCACTCCTCTTTTCTTTTTCCTAGACCTGCTTTTCACTGTCCTGGGAAGATGACATCCTAGAGAACTGTCCAGCCTGCTCCCACCAGCAGGGGAGGAAAATTACAGAGTACTAGGACCCTTCTCCAACCCCAATCACTAGCAAGGTTTACACGCAAGAAATATTTATCCACGTGTTTGTTTCCATGTGCTCCTCAAAGAGCTCACCTATAACCCCAAAAGGAGGAACTGTCCTAGGCCGAGAGAGCCAAGGATCTGAGCAAGGGGGGAGGGGGGGTTGCGTTAAGCTTGATGAGCTCACCTTGGCGGGCTCAGAGGTGTCCATGGCTGAACTGGCATCAATGTCAGATGATTCTGCCTGGCCAAACTCTGAGGAAAAAAGGCCAGTCTGTTCAGTTCCATTTCCCCACCCCAACCTCTCCGTCCGAAAACTACCGCCCAGGCCTGGCTCACCTGCGCCCTGCAGGGACATCTGCATGGCATATGCGATCTGCTCTTCCTCAGTCATGCTGCTTAGGTCAGGGAGCCCGGTGCGGCTGAACTCCTGCTGGCCGATGGTCATTTTCAGCAGGGCGTCGTCTGAGTCTGGGAAAGGAAGACAGTGGCAGGATGGAACTGGTGCCATATGCCACACAGACCCACCCCAAAGCACTCCCTCCGCCCACATATTCCCATGCTGCCCGACCCCCCACTCCCATGGAGCACCCCGCAGTCCCGGGACTTCAGATTCCACCTCTTTCACCTTCAGTCCCAGTCGGAGCAATCCCAGCCTCAGCAGCAGAGGCTGCGGCTGCCCGACGGGCCTCCTCCTCCTGCCGCTGCCGCTGCTCTTCCATAGAAACGCGAAGGGCCTGGCGGAGGACAGGGCAAGGTCAGATGTTCTCCCACCCTCCCTCACTCGTGGGGAAGTCAGCTGAGGGGTGGCAAAGGAGCACAATGCCATATGGAAAAGCCAGAGAGGTGATACAGGAAAAAAGGACCCGGGAGAAGCCTGGGGTTTGATCAGGAAAAGCGAACAAGAGTCTGACACTGTTGCCCTTAGAGATCAGATGCAATTCTGCAGCAGAGGGACAAAAAGGGGGGTCTGGGAAAATGAGCGGGGTGTGTAGGCCTGTTAGCCCTACAGGAGCTGTGTGGCGTGTGGTGTGTCCGTAGAGGTCAAAGCAGGACCCTTGGGCTCTACCTGAGGTCAACGTTTGCTCACCAGGGCCAGCTCAGGATCAGCACTGGGATCCACTCCAAATTCAAAGTCACTGGCACCAAGACCCAGCATGGCACCGCCTTCACCAGCCAGAATCGGAGAACTGATGAGGGCATCAGCGAGGCTGGGCCCAGGAGGAACTGTCACCAGATGAGATCCAGTTCCATCTTTGCCATTCAACGTGTTCACAAAGGCTGTCAGCTTTTCCGTGTTCACTTCCTGGGGAGGAAAGAACACAGAGACTCTCCTTGCTGCCCGGCTCACTCGCCATTCTCGCCATTCGTCCTCGTCTGCAGCTACTCTCCACAGCACAGGCCCCTCTGGGTAAGGACTCTTCTCAGGCTATAACCAAATCAAGTCAATGCCCCCCAACTAGTCCTTACTCACCTCTTCCCCAAAATTGATAATGTCAACATTTACTTTCTCCTTCTTGAGGCGTTTTGCCAGTTTCACCAGCTGGGAAGAAGGGGAGATACATGAGGAAATCCGTCCGACACCATCAGGGCAAGTGACACACCTCACAAAAGCACACAGAACTCTGCTGACCTCCCCAAGGTCCCCCAGTAGAAACACTAAATTCTGCACATCCAACTTTCCCCAAAGTGATGAACCCACTGCCCCTGCCAGGCTCGCCTAAGGCTGAAAGACCCATTCCAGATACTTCCCACCCAAAACCCCAGCTGCCACGGGGACTCACATCCTTCTCGTTGTCCTCCACGGGGCTCCCCACAAAGGCAATGATGCGCATCTTGTGATTCTTGCCCTGTCGGTGCTTCAAAGCCAACTTGTAAAGGAAGAGGAAGTGCTCAGTCAGCCTGAGCAATCACTGGCCTCTTTCCTGTCACTCGGTTGTTGTTTTCTTATGGTTTCTACGTACCTCAAGTCTACCATCATGCTCACACAAGGTCTAACCCCTTTCCTTCACTCCCCCATTCTTGTCATTCATCCCACCATATCCTTCCTACTCCTTCTGTAGGCCATCTCTCTTCCCTCGCTCTGGTTCTGGCCCAAGATTCCAGGGGAGAAATGAACAACGTTGGGGGCAGAACCTCAGAGCAAGGAGGAACCATCAAAGGGATCCAGGACTCACATGGGCCACTCGGATGCCAGTGCAGAAGGTGATCTTGCCCTTGGGCTGGACAGTATGAAGCTTGGACAGGATGCGGCCGGTGTCAGGGGTGAGTGTGGTCAGTACTTCACAGTCACTGGGATATGGGGAAAGCATTTCCATGATTTCAGGTCAAAACAAGTGTCTCTAAACTATGTTTGACTCATCTTTAATTTAGAGAACTTGACAATAACTGTAATCTCTACTTTTCTTTAACATCTAAAAGTTGTCAATGCAAGGAATAACAAGTTATAATTATATGAGATGTGGATGTTATCTTCTTATAATAATCATTCACAATACAGTTAACCCTTCAACAACAAGGGGCACAGTGAAAAATCCATGTATAAGTTTTGACTCCCCCAAAACGTAACTAATCCCTGAGTATCCATGGGGGATTAGTTCCAGGACACCCCACAGATACCAATATCTGCAGATGCTCAAGTCCCTTATAAAAAATAGCATAGAAGCCCTAGCCCAGTGGTCGGCAAACTGTGGCTCGTCAGCCACATGCGGCTCTTTGGCCCCTTGAGTGTGGGTCTTCCACAAAATACCGACTTCTGCGCATGGGCCACGAAGTTTCAATCGCACTGTACATGCGCGCCCACACGTGGTATTTTGTGGAAGAGCCACACTCAAGGGGCGAAAGAGCCGCATGTGCCTCGCGAGCCAAAGTTTGCCGACCACTGCCCTAGCCGATTGGGCTCAGTGGATAGAGCATCAGCCTGCGGACTGAAGAGTCCCAGGTTCGATTCCGGGACTCGATCCCCAGTGGGGGACGTGCAGGAGGCAGCAGATCAATGATTCTCTCTCATCATTGATGTCTCTCTCTCTCACTCTCCCTTCCTCTCTGAAATCAATAAAATATACATATTTTTAAAAAATAGCGTAGAACAGTGCATACAGTTGGAACCTCCAACCAAGATAAAAAATACTGGTTTTGATCCACAACTGGCTGAGTCCATGGATAAAAATCCTGGGGATACGAAGAGCCAACTGTATATTTATTTTTTTGAAATCTGTATCCAAGTGGACCCAGGGAGTTCAAATCCATATTGTTCAAGGACCAACTATATATACATTTATCAAGTCATTATGTGGTATATCTTAACCTTATACAATGGTACATATCAATTATACCTCAATCAAACCGGGGGGGGGGGGCGGGGGGGGAATCCAGTGCTCAGATGTGAGGCACAGGAAATAAGTAGTTGATTTTGTAAAAACCTGCTCTCTCCCTTCCAGTGCTTCCCCCTTACTTCTCTCATGCTATCTTGCTGGCAGGGCTGAAACTCCTCCACAACTATTGGATGCTACTATGATTCTCTCTCACCGTCTCCATTTCCAGACTCATTTTCCCGCGAACAAGATGCATACTGGGATGAGTGGTTACTCATTTGCGGATTATCAATTCCTAAAGCAAATCACTTTGGACGTAACAGGACTCTGACCCCAAATCACTTTTCACAGACTTTAAAAACACTGTGAAATTTTATCCCAGGAGATTGAGCTTCATAACTGTATTAAATTCAGGTTGATATAAAACCAAGTTACTATTTATATTTACACTAAACAGTGAAGAAGGTAGTCCAGGAAGGTGATGGGCAAAAAAAGCCTCACGAAATCTACAAAAGGGTAGCAACCTGGACTCCACAGTGGGTGACATATGGGAAACCCCCACCTCCTCTGTCCCACGTACTTGGCCAGTGTGATGAGGCCCACGTTGTTCTCAGGGTTGCTACGGGTCTTGGAGTGACATACTATGTTGACAGCGTCCTGTTGGGCCTGCAGCCGGGTAGGTAAGAAGTCCCCATTCCGCATATACTCGCTGTTGTCCACGCTACCGATTAGGAGTGAAGGAGAGAAAAGACATTGTATAGGACCCCAGGCATCCTCTCCAGTTTCAGGGACCTGTGAGAGGAATTGTGCGGGGGTCTAAGAGTAGCTCTCCGTCTTTGTGGAGCTCAAAATCACCTCCAGCTCTTTCTTTTAATATATAGATGACCCGGCCCGAACTCAAACTTACCAACTCAAAATGACCAAAGGAAGAAAAAAAAATTAAATCTCTACTCCACAGCGATTTTGATAAACATCAAAGGTTGCAATCTACTGATATATCACAACCGTCTGCACGTGTTATTAAATATTGTCAAGGATGAATATTCTAAGTCTGCCATTAAAATGGGAGTATTCCATTTTAATGGTAAGAAATGAAGAAGGCAACTTAAAAATACGTATAAAATAACACACTTGGCAGCACTGAATGCAGGAAAGTACAATGTAGTCATCTGATTAAATGTATAACTCCTGGACTGAACTGCAAAAATGAGGTTTCATGAATTTGGAATCTTACCTCTCCTATCCCCACAACTTTTCATAATCTACCAGAATCCAGATCATATGACTACAAACTCCAGCTTCCCAGAGACCAAAAGAAGGCAGATAAGGGAAGCAGTTATACAAGCCCCAGAACAGAATCAATTCTTAAAACTCTAACAATCGCCCGACTGGAGTAGCTCAGTGTTTGAGCATCGAACTACGAACCAGCAGATCACAGTTTGATTCCCAGGAGGATCATATGCCTGGATTGTGGGCTCAATCCCCAGTGTGGGGGTGTGCAGGAGGCAGCTTATCAGTGATTCTCATCATTGATGTTTCTATCTCTCTCTCCCTCTTCCTTCCTCTCTGAAATCAATAAAATTAAAAACAAAAGAACTCTAACTATCAACGATCCCATCTGTGTTAATGAATAAAGCCGTGTCCTAGATAAGACACCTCATTTCTACTGCTGAGCAAAATACGGATAAGGCAATTTTCTTCTTTAGTATCCTTTGCCTGGCAACATATACGAACCAAAAATGATGAAGACAGGTCATTAAGTAGCTACTGGAAGGTAAGTGGAACAGAAGTAAAGGGCAGTCGGTGTTCTTCAGGCACAGGTTCAAATCCCCATTCTGCTACTTGCTAATTCTATGATCCTGAAGAAGTTACTTAATTTCTCTAAGGTCCACTTATTTCATGTATAAAATGGGTTTTATTGTACCAACCCTATTGGACTGCTCTGAGGATTAAATGCATGGAAAGTACTTAGCGCAATACCTAACAGTAAGCATGAAACTCAGACTCATTCTTATACTGGAAACTCAATCTATATAAAGGGCACCAAGGGCTGACGCTACTGACCATGCATTATTATTCCTTTTCCCCCAATACACTGTTTCTGGTTATTCCCCCAACAGGGAAGTAATTGCCTCTCTAGCTTAAAGTACAGTGATGAGTCCAAATAAAAAAAAAACAATGAAGGCTTTGAGGATCATCCAGATGGAACAGTTACTAAGTATAAGGATTGTGGGCAAGACCCACAAATGGATGAAAGCTGGAAGAAAGGTGTCAAAATGAGAAAAGGGCGCTTGACGGACAGTGAAGAACATGGCAGTGTTCTTTGTTGTGTATCAGAACCCCTGGGAGGGTGATGGCAGTGGCGGTGGTGTTAACAACATGGATGCTTAACATCTAGCTACGCATCCAAAAAAATCACATTGCTTAGTTTTCCCAATTTTGAACTTTATACGAATGGGATAATGTATGTGCTTTTTGTGACGACTTTTGCTCAACAGTGTGTAATTTTTCCCCATCAAAAATTCATATCAAAATAGTATTATCCAGCTATTCCATAAAAGTCTTCATTAAAAAAAAAAAATACACATGCCTAGACTTCCCTGGCTGGGAGGTCTGACTCAGCAGATTGAGAGTAGAGTCAAACAGTAACAATTTTTAATAAACTCCTCCTGAGAATTCTGAGAAAGCAAAGCTTGAGGGCCCACAAAAAAAAAAAAAAAAAAAAGAAAAAGAAAAGAAAAGGAGAGAAGGGGTGGCTTTCATCATCATTCTGTGCCTGAGCTATTCCAACAGGCCACCAATAAGCCAAATCTTTCCTCCAGTACCAAGCCGGGTCATTATGAAATGCCATTGTGTGTACTTCTCTGCCTCCACCATCCTCCGAACTTTTTCAACAGTCCTCTATTGAAGGGTACAGGACAGAGTCCAACCACCCTCAATGCAACATTTGGGGTCTTCTACCTGGGCCCATCTACCTTTCAGAACGAAAAGGAGCACCCACACACCAACCATCTGATAAGAAGCCACACTAGTCAGTTTCCTAATCCCTAGCATGCCTGGGGCATTTACCTCTCAGCAGCTTTATGCCCTTCCCCCCTCTTCTTCCCAACATTTACCTAAATCCCTTCAAGGTCCCTCTTTCTTAAGGGCTCCTCAAGCACCAGTGCTATACTTTTTACAGAAAACCATCACATACATTTTACCTAACTGTGGTCTATGATCCCCATTTTATAGGCAGATTTACTACATTCTCGAGAACACACAGCTTGTAAATAACAAAACACACGCACAGGTTTTTGGATTCCAAATCCTGTCCCCTTTACACATGCTCTCTCCCAGAGGCTGCCAGGTTTAGCAAACAAAGACACAACTCCCAGCTCAATCTGAATTTCAGATAAACAGCAAATAACTTTCTGGTATAAGTATGTCCCATGCAATATTTGGCACATACTTACATCCACTTTTTTTTTTTTTTTTTAATTTTTGTGAGTTTATTTGAGCCAAACTGTCGACATATGCCGGGAAGCAGAACCTCAATGAATTGAGATAGTGCTCCCCTTACATCCACTTTTTAAAAAAATATTGAAAAGTGTTATTGATCTGAAATTCAAATTTAACTGGGCATCCTATATTTTATCTGGCAATGCTATCCTCTCCCCCAAAAGAAAACCCCTGTCTCCCCCAACTGACGATGTGTGTGTATTTATGTACTATACTGTGTTACAGTCTATGCTCACTCGTGGAAGGAACTCTTGAAACCTTGCAAAAGTGTGTCCTCGGCTTCTAATCCAACTCAATACATACTCGGCCCAAGTCTGGGGCTGGCTCACCTTGAAATCCCTGCCGCACCACTAAGTTAGCTGCGTGACTGTGGGTAAGTCATTCAAAATTGCTGAGGCTGAGTACCCTCCCCTGTAACTCAGTGCTGGGAGGCCGAAGGGAGATCAAGTCCGGGAATGCCCGCCACATAGACAGCACCATAAACGGCCCCTCCGGAGAAGGCACGGGGAGGTCACAGGTGCAGACGCGTGGCCGGGCCGGGAAGGGACCGATCACACAGCCCTGCCTCACATCTGCGGTGCAGGAGGGAGAGGAGGGCAGAAGACGAGTCTGAGAAGCATGGCTCTGACCACAGACAGACCGGGGGCTGGTCTAGAGACGGCGACGCTGGCATAGGGAGAGGCCGCGGGGACCGGCCGGTCAGTGGCCTCCGCGGGGTGCGGGTCAGCACAGGGTACCCGGGCCCGTCCTCCTTCCCGGGGCCCGGGATGACTCAGGGAGTCGAGAGCTCCTGCCCTCCCGGCCCACGGGCGCGTCTCGCCCACCAGCCCCCCGGCCCTGCCCCCGGCTCACCCGGCCTCCGCGCGCCCCGACCCAGCCCCGCCCCTCACGAAGCCCCTAAGTCGTTACTCACCAAACCATAGTGCTTTCCAACACCATCTTGCCACCTTCCTCCCTCCCGGACAGGGTCTCCTGGGCCTCCTAACACCGACTCCTCCAATTGGCCCAGCACTCATAACCAATCGCAGACCTCGGCTCGGCCAGCTGGTTCCGCCTCCACCCCGCGCTGCGTTCTGGGAGTTGTAGGCGCAGCCAAGATAAAAGGGATGTGAGGGAGGCGGGGTGGCCGAAGTAACACAAAAAATGTTACTACCCACCATTCGAGTTCTCTGGTGGAGTTTCCTGCTGGGGGCATCTAAGCGAAGCTGTGGGGGAACCTTTGGAAGTGCTCGTGGATGTGCAGGGTCCAGCGCCCGTCATTTTCAAACAGTGGTGGGATCACTTTTTTTCAGCTTCCACTGTTTCCCACAGCACTTTGTTCATAATTACTAAACGCTTCTCTCTCTGAATTGCAATCATTTGTGATTTCTCTCTCTCCCATTTTATTAGGGCAGGAGACATGTCAATCATTGCAATCTCGGAGCCCAGTACAGAGCCTGACACATGGTAGGAGCCCAGAAAAAAGTTTGACAAATCAGTAATTTTACCGAATCTCCCAAAGAATAGGAGACAAACACCAGTAAACCATTTTGATTTGTTAATCAACAGTAACATTTAAGCCCTAACTGGTTGGCTCAGTGGATAGAGCATCGGCCTGTGGACTGAAAGGTCCCTGGTTCGATCCCAGTCAAGGGCACATGCCCGGAGTTGCGGGCTCCATCCCCAGTAGGGGGTGTGCAGGAGGCAGCTGATCAGTGATTCTCTTATCATTGATGTTTCTATCTCTCTCTCCCTCTCCTTTCCTCTCTGAGATAAATAAAATATATATATAAAAAAAGAGTAACATTTAAAATGCTTTGAATTACTTTCCACCACTCACACACGTCTGGAAATCCCAGGTGTCTATCTTGAAGGGAAGAGAGAAAGAAGGAAGGGACCAAGCATGGCAACAGAACACCAAACTTGGAAACAGGAGAGAGGAGTGTTGTAGATATTACCTAGATATTGGTAAAGTTTCAATGGATATGTTCAAAAGTTACTGGTAACCATTACAGATTGTATAAGAGTAAAATCTCCGTATCACTAGAGGAGGGGAAAAGTCAATATAACTATAGACAGGAAAGAGGAAAAATTTAAAAAAAACAACAACACAGAAAAATAGTGTCAAGTTCAAACATAACTAAAATATTTTTAAAAACAAGACAAGAATTATATTTTTAAAAACAAAGAAAAAATATATAATGTAACTAGAGACACAAAACTAAGTGAGAAAAGGTAAAAATAAAGGGAGAGGAAAACGCAACATATGAGGCAATAGTAATAAAAGAAAGCATATGTAGCTATATTAATATTGCACAAAATAGGAATTAAAATAAATAGCTAAAATAAAATCAAGAGAATATTTCATAAAACATAAAATTAATCAACAAAAATGCTACTGTTTAATCAGAATAATGAAACTCCAAAGATAAGTTAAACATCAGGAATAACTATAAGTTGGTATTCTAAATGTAGAAGTAAATAAAGACAAACATTCAACCCAAACAAAGGGACTAGGACCTGAATGAATAGTGTCATCATGGTTCTGGGAAAACATGATCCATGATATCTGTGCAGGGAAGTGTCACCATTTCAGCTTTAGTCAGTCATTTAATAAACTGCGAACAGCTTTTTGTTACCAAACTTTAAAAAGTCTATGGAGATATTGCAAAGAATACAAAATATAATAGCTGTTAAAAATAAGATAGTGAAAATTAGATCCTATAAGATTGATTTGATTCAACCTGAAGATCAGAGAACTACATGGGTGGGCAAACATAGGTTTACAGTTGTCAGTCCTAGAAACAGTTTGTTCTTATGTTATTATTTATTAACTAGAGGCCCAGTGCATGAAATTCATACATGAGGGGGGAGGGTGTCCCTCAGCCTGGCCTGCGCCCTTTCACAGTCCAGGAGCCCTCGAGGGATGTCTGACTGCCACGGAGGCGGGAGAGGTGAGCCCGTCTCAGGGCTTCTGGCTGAGCAGTGCTCCCCGTGTGGGAGCACACTGACCACAGGGGGCAGCTCCTGCATTGAGCATCTGCCCCCTGGTGGTCAGTGCACATCATAGCGACCAGTCATTCCGCCATTCGGCCTATTTGCATATTAACCTTTTATTATATAGGATTATTGTATTATTTTCCACACAACTGTAAGCCTACTTTTGTAATACTCTCTTCAAATAGAAAAAACATTCTGTTAGAACTATGTCAGAAGCTTTTCAAATAGCGATGTGCAAGTTGCAATAATACACATAAACACTGAAATCTGATAGGATCATATTTCAGTAAAACAAAAGCTCTATAATGAAAAGAACCAATAACAAAAAAACCCAACAGCAATGAATTCATTTACCTGTGGGCCAAGCACTATTCTGGGTACTTGGAAGGGAGCAAAACAAAGAAAGTCCTGCCCTTATGGAGCTTACATTCTTTGGGGACAGACAGACAATAAATCAATAAGTAAATATAGTCAAATAATGGTAAGTACTGCAAAGAAAAATAAATGGGTGGTTCTAAGCATATAAATAGGATATCAGGGAGCCTTACATTAGAAACCTGAAGGGCACCTGGGGGAAAGCACCAAGTGCAAATGCCCTGAGTCAGGATGTACTTTAAGTGCAAGGAGACCAGTAGAGGCTGGAGTAGAAGGAGAGGCAGAAAGAGAATAAATAAAGCCAGAAAACATAGGGAGTTCAGAGGCTAGCTCGTGGACAGCCTCATGGATCAAGGACTCTGAGATAAGGATCTGTTGGGAAGTTTTCCGCAGAGGATTGATAGACTCTGACTTAATGTTTTGATAGGACAGCTCTGGCTGCTGCATTGAGAAAAGATTACAGAAGGAGATAGATCAGTTAGGAGACTACAATAATCTGATGATATGATGGTGGCTTATTCCAGGGTGGTAACAAGATGTGAAAATGGTGACATATAGTTGGATTTTGAGTATATTGTGAGATACAAAACTGATAGAATTTCCCAATGGGTTTGATGGAGGATGTAAGGCAGTGGGTTCTCAACCTTCTGGCCCTTTAAATACAGTTCCTCATGTTGTGACCCCCAACCATAAAATTATTTTCGTTGCTACTTCATAACTGTAATGTTGCTATTGTTATGAATCGTAATGTAAATATCTGATATGCAGGATGGTCTTAGGTGACCCCTGTGAAAGGGTCGTTTGACCGCCAAAGGGGTCGTGACCCACCGGTTGAGAACAGCTGATGGAAAGGAAGGGATTATTAAGTAAGACACCAGAATTGGTTCTAAGCATGTTTCTGTACAAAACAACATGAGATTAAATCAAGCATAAGAAAAAATGGTGCAGGCAGGCTCGCCCCGCCCCCTCCTCACCTGCGGCTCCAGCCCTGCTGCTCTCCGTCTCCTGCTCCTTCTGCCTCCCGCTCCTTCTGCCCCGGACAAGTTAGATTCACCCCAGGGAGAAGGAGCCTGGTCCCTCCTGCGCCCCGAAAGGTTAGTTCCGGCAGCCGGGAGGCCGCGGCTGCGTGCGGGGCGGGCCGCTTGAAGGGCGCCCGGCCCCTCGAGGGTCATCCGCCGCTGGTCGCTCGCTCCCTCCGCTGCGCCGGGCGCCGGAGGCAGGGTTCCGCCCTCGGGATGCGGCTAGGGGGCCTCCCCCCCCTCCGCCCCCCGCGAGTTGTGAAGCGCCTGTAGCTGATCTAGCTGTGCGGTCCCAGGAGCACATTGTGAAGAGTTGGGGGAGTTGGGTCCCCCGAGAGGTGTAACCGGGCACTCGGTGGTGGTCCTGAGTTGCACGGGGAGAAGGTCCCTGCCAAGATAGTTGTAGAGTTTTCTGGCCAATGGTCACAACACCTTTTGCTCGACCACACGTGAGCGCCATCCAGGGGCTGACTGTCGGTATGATTTCAGTGTAGGGCGCGGTGCACGTGCATGTATGTGTATGTGTGTCAGTCTTCGTGCATGTGCGTGTGCGCGCGCGCGCCCGGTCTGCTGAGTGTAATTTTTAAAATCTATTAAAAATCTGCCCTGGCTGGTTTGGCTCAATGGGTAGAGCGTCAGCCTGCAGACTGAAGGGTCCCAGGTTTGATTCTGGTCAAGGGCACATGCCTGGGTTTCGGCTTGATCCCCAGTAGAGGGCATGCAAGAGGCAGCCAATCAATGATTCTCTCTCATCATTGATGTTTCTATCTCTCCCTCTCCCTTCCTCTCTAAAATCAATAAAATATGTTTAAAAAAAAAAAATGGTGCAATCAAAAGACTCAGTACGCCCTGGCCAGTTTGACTCAGTGGATAGAGCGTCAGCCTACGGACTCAAGGGTCCCAGGTTCGATTCCGGTCAAGGGCATGTACCTTGGTTGCGGGCACATCCCCAGTAGGGGGTGTGCAGGAGGCAGCTGATTGATGTTTCTCTCTCATCGATGTTTCTAACTTTCTATCTCTTTCCCTTCCTCTCTGTAAAAAAATCAATAAAATATATTTTAAAAAAAGACTCAGTAAACAGGAGGTGTATGAGGTTGCTGCTAGCATAACACAGAATATTGTTTTATAGCAAACTTTTTGTTGTTAATCCTCACCCAAGGATATTTTTCCCATTAATTTTTTTTTTAAAGAGAGTAAAGGGAGTTGGGGAGTGGGGAAAGAAAGAGCAATGTGAGAGAGAGAGATCGATTGATTGATTGATTGCCTCCCTCACATAGCCTACCGGGGCTGGGGAACACACCTGCAACCCTTCAGTGCTTGGGCTGATGCTCTAACCACTTAGGAACACAAGCCAGGGCTATCTCAAACTTTTTTGAATAAGTAGAGCACACTCTAAAATAACAATACAAAGTATAGTATACTAAGTACATAAGCCAGTAACAGCTGTTTATCACTACCAAATATTATGGAATGCACATAATTATATGTGATATACTTTTACCCAACTGACAGTGCAGGTTTGTTTATACCAGCATCACCACAAACATGTGAGTAATGTGAGTGACATTATGATGGCTATCATGTCACTAGGCAATAGGAATTGTTAGCTCCATTATAATCCATCCCATGGGGCCACCTTTATTTATGCAGTCTGTCATTAACTGAAAATGTTATGTGGCACATGATTGTATTTATAAAAAATTCATTTGTAAGAACACTGGCTAACATTGACCACTGACTGGATATTTTTATTAAGGAATTATTCATATTTTAAGGTGTAAGAATGTTATAGTTATGTTTTTAAAAAGTTCTTATCTCATCCTGGCTGGATTGGCTCAGTGGATAGAGCATCAGCCTGCAGACTGAAGGGTCCCAGGTTTGATTCTGGTCAAGGGCACATGCCCGGGTTGCAGGCTCCATCCCCAATAGGGGGCCTGCAGGAGGCAGCTGATCAATGATTCTCTTTCATCATGGACATTTCTATCTCTCCCTCTCTGAAATCAATAAAAAAATATATATTTTTTAAATTTATTTTTTATTATTAAAGGTATTACAAATGTGTCCTCATCCCCCCCGCCCTGCACACTCACGCTCCCATCCCCCTGTTGTCTATGTCCATTGGTTTGGCTTATATACATGTATACAAGTCCTTCGGTTGATCTCTTCCCCTTACCCCCGCCCTCCCCTACTTTCCTTCTGGGGATTGATAGCCTGATCGCTGGTTCTCAGTCTTTGGATCTGTCCCTTTTCATCAGTCTACGTTGTTCTCTATAATCCACAAATGAGTGAGATCATGTGGTATTTATCTTTCTCTGACTGGCTTATCACTTAGCATAATGCTCTCCAGTTCCATCCATGCTGTTGCAAAAGGCAAGAGTTCCTTTTTTTTCCTTTACCGCAGCATAGTATTCCATTGTGTTTATGTACCTATATATATTTTTTTAATATATTTTATTGATTTTTTACACAGAGGAAGGGAGTGGGATAGAGTCAGAAACATCAATGAGAGAGAAACATCGATCAGCTGCCTCCTGCACACTCCCCACTGGGCATGTGCGCGCAACCAAGGTACATGCCCTTGACTGGTATCGAACCCGGGACCCCTGAGTCCGCAGGCCGACACTCCATCCACTGAGCCAAACCGGTCAGGGCGAAAAATATATATTTTTTAAAAAGTCCTTATCTCTTGAGTTATATGTTGAAATATTTATGGATGAAAAGATAGGATGCCTTGGATTTATTTTTAACTTAATTCTTTGGAGTTGCAGAGAGAAAGTTGGGGAGGGGTAGGTAGAAAATATAGATGAGACAGATTGGTCTTATACAGATATTGATGGAAGTTGGGTGATGGGTACATGGTAGTTCATCATACTACTCTACTTTTTTTTGTTTTTTAATATATTTTATTGATTTTTCACAGAGAGGAAGGGAGAGGGATAGAGAGTCAGAAACATCGATCAGCTGTCTCCCCACTGGGGATGCGCCCGCAACCAAGGCACATGCCCTTGACCGGAATCGAACCCGGGACCCTTGAGTCCGCAGGCCGACGCTCTATCCACTGAGCCAAACCGGCTAGGGCCATACTACTCTACTTTTGATTTGGAAACTTCCATAATAAAAATAATCTTACAGCCTTGGCGGTTTGGCTCAATAGACAAAGCGTTGGCCTATGGACTGAAGAGTCCCAGGTTAGATTTTGGTCAAGGGCATATGCCTGGGTTGTGGGTTCGATTGACCCCCAGTGTGGAGTGGGTAGGAGGCAGCCCATCAATGATTCTCTCATCATTGACGTTTGTTTCTCTCTCTCTCCCTCTCCCTTCCTCTCTGAAATCAATAAAAATGTATTTAAGCCGAAACCGGTTTGGCTCAGTGGATAGAGCGTCGGCCTGCGGACTGAAGGGTCCCAGGTTCGATTCCGGTCAAGGGCATGTACCTGGGTTGCGGGCACATCCCCAGTGGGGGGTGTGCAGGAGGCGGCTGGTCGATGTTTCTCTCTCATCGATGTTTCTAACTTTCTATCTCTCTCCCTTCCTCTCTGTAAAAAATCAACAAAATATATTTTTAAAAAAAAGTATTTAAAAAATAAATAAAAATATTACAGGAGATATTGACCTGCTTCTTGTGCACTTGAAAAACTAAAGAATAAACAGTTTAATTTGGAATCTATTTTAACTGGCAAATCTTTTATTTAAAAAAATGAAGGAGCCCTAGCCGGTTTGGCTCACTGTATAGAGCATCAGCCTGCAGACTGAAGGGTCCCAAGTTTGATTCTGATCAAGGACACATGCCCAGGTTGTGGGCTTGATCCCCAGTAGGGGGGCATTCAGGAGGCAGTCAATCAATGATTCCCTCTCATCATTAATGTTTCTATCTCTCCCTCTTACTTCCTCTCTGAGACTACTCCGATGAATAATTTTCAGAATAGCTTAGATTGACATGTTTAAGAGTAAAACATTAAACTATGATTTCCCTTTTAGTTGTAGACATTTTAATTAGTAGGCCCTGCTTGAATCTGAATAGATCGCAATGGACAGCTATATAATTAGTAGCTGCTGCTCACCACTAGAGGCACACGCTGACCATAAGAGGGTTCCTTCTGCACTCACCAGTTAGTTGCATGAAATTGATGAGGGAATGGCAAGAGTAGCAGAAAAACCATTTGTGCCTAAAACATGTTCGGATTCAATTCCTATTAGGGAAAGTTTTCTCCTTATCCAGCTTAAAGGAGGGCTCAGTCTGGGGCTTAAACTCCAAAAATCCCACTGCCCAGCCTCGCAGGCACAGCAGGTCAATGAGTCTGGGGTCCCGAGTTGTCTGACAGTAATCTGAACTCTTTTTGCATCCTAAACATGGATAAGCCTGGCCGGTGTGGCTCAATGGTTGGGCCTTGACCTATGAAGCAAGAGGTCATGATTTAATTCCTATCAGGGCATATGCTGGGGTTGCAGGCACCATGGGCTCTACCTTGTTCTCTAAAACAGACCATTCTCATACCTCCAGGCCCTTGTGTTCCAGTGAAACTTCCCCAACACTTCTAGCCCACAGTAACCTGTAACTTTCTCTCACCTTTATGCTCTGTATCATTCAGAGGACTGAAACTCTTATCTAGATCTTATCTAACATGTTTTTGCGTATGCATGTGTGCGCTCCTCCTGGACGCTGTCAACTCTTGAAGGTCAATTACTTCTTTTGATTTCCAACTGCCCATGCATTGCTCAATAGCTGCGTAAATATTTGTAGAACGATAACATAGATTGTGGTATGAAAAGGAGCAATATTTAGTTAACTTGATTTTCTCTAAAACTACGCCACCAGATGCCCTGGAATGAACACTCCCTCTTTTTGTCTAGTTCCCATTAAAGTAAAAGAGCCTGGCCCGGCCAACATGGCTCAGTGGTTGAGTGTCAACCTATGAACCAGGTCACAGTTGAATTACCGGGTTACAGGTGATCCCCAGTGTGGGGCATGCAGGAGGCAGCCAATCAATGATTCTCTCTCATCATTGATGTTTCTTTCTCTCCCTCTGCCTTTCTCTCTGAAATCAATAAAAATATATTTTAAAATGAGCTTAAGCACACTAGGAAAACAGAGGTGAGGGAGTCTTCATGTTTTTCTAAGACTGACAACCTCAGGCAGTGATTTTTCAACTGATGTGCTGCAAGAATTTTTAAAACATGCCCTGGCGGGTGTGGTGCAGTGGTTAGAGCACCACCGAAGGGTCATGGGTTGATTTCCAGTCAAGGGCATGTACCTAGGTTGCAGGTTCCCAAGCCCCAATGGGGGCCCATATGGAAGGCACCAATTGATGTCTCTCTCTCACATCGATGTTTCTCTCTCCACCCCACCTCCCTTCCACTCTCTAAAAAAATAAATGGAAAAATATCCTTTGAGGATTAACAACAAACAAAGAATTTTTTAAAACATGCAATACCTGACTAGTCAGGGCACTGACCTTTTTTCCCTTAGACTGTCAAATAAAAAAATGACAACAGCCAACACAATAGTCATCCAATGTGAACGCCCTGTCTTGAACTATATATATAGGTCATGTAATAGAGTTGCATCATATTGGTCATGTCACATAATAAGGCTGTGTCTCATTCATCAGTTCTTGGTACCAGAAACCCTGCTTATATACAAGTAAGTATAAGCACCTGATTTTTTAAAAAGTCACTTTGGAGCAAAAAGGGTAAATAATTTTTGTGTGTAAATTGATCAAAATTATACCTAATTTTTGTCAGATCAGCAAAAAAGTAGAATATATTTTTGATATGCCACAGAATTTTAGTAATTAACTTATATGTGTCAGGAGATGTAAAAGGTTGAAAATTGCTGCTGTAGGGCCATGTCCAGGGAAAGCGAGGGAATCCTAGGATGAACCAATCTCAAGCTGGCTTTCCCCAGTGTCCCTCTGCTTTGCTCCGAAACCTGAGGAAGATTTTGAGCTTTGGATTCCCAATTCCCTCAGTTAAAGTGGGTTGCAACAAGGCGACAGACCTACAGTAATTCCCTTCATATTCATTCACAGCTTTTCCTTGTCAAGTTTAAGTTAAGATGAAGGGGGCCCTAGCTGGTCTGGCTCAGTGGATAGAGCATTGGCCTACGGACTGAAGAGTCACGGGTTCAATTCTGGTCAAGGGCACATGCCTAGGTTGTGGGCTCGATCCCCAGTGGGGGTTGTGCAGGAGGCAGCCGATCAATGATTCTCTCATCATTGATGTTTCTTTCCTTCTCCCTTCCTCTCCGAAATCAATAAAAATATATTAAAAAAAAAAAAAATGAAGGGGGTGGCTGGAAGGGAATGAAGCCATTTCTCTCAGCCTGAGTTAGACTGAGGCTGGAAAGGATGCAGCATTTGTTCAAGGCAACATGAACAGAACTTGAGCTTGCGTGGGAGGCTCAAGTTTTGAGCACATGGTATATGAAAAAGAACCAAGAAGAAACAAGAAATCTAAATAACTGATGAAAGTTTAATACATTAAAACCAGATAGTTATCACTTATATTGCATTTGCCATTTCTGAACAATACAAAGTAGAGGCAAATAGTGACACTTCATAAAAATGTTCATTCCCCATTCCCTTCCCTAAGACCCAGCCTCCCTTGAATACTCCCTCCCACCCCCTTCAGAACTTTGTCCTGAATAAAACACTTAAATACATCATAAATAGTAAATTATGAAAAAAAACTAGCAAGAATTCTTTCTTTCCTTCTTGTAAAAAAGAACATGGCAGCAAAGACAGGCAGCCAGAGTCTGGCTGAGGGTGTCTAATATAGACAGTTACTCGGGGTGTGGGCTAACCTACCATCAACGTGGGGTGGGATGAAGAGGATAGTCTGGGAATTCAACAATCTGCCTGAGATGCCAGGCCCCTTCTCCTCACAGGAGGAGGAGGACCAGATGGAGAACTGCAACTCTGAGATGGGGAGGAGAGGGATTATACAGCCCCCATTCCCAACTTCTCTGCATGAAGAGAGGGGCAGGCCATGCGGCACAGCAGTGGCCTCACCGAGGCAAAATCTGCTGGCTCCCATGAGTTTAAGAGATATTCTCTAGCTTCATAGATATGGGCTGCCTGTTAAACAGACACAGGTGACCCTCTCTCCACCTCAGCCCCACAAACAGCATAACACTGTTAGAAAAGGTGGGAAGAATAAGGAAGAAATCTCCTTTGGAGAAGGATCTAAAATTCATTTGATGTCTTCATATTTAGAAAAAACAATCAGAATACATTTCAAATTACAAAACAGTAATAATCATTATGGCCCGGCAGTGAGTAGGATCATGCCTAAGAAGAGCCCTGATCGCCTAGCCATGACTGTCCCACTGTTTTAACAAAAGGGGTAAAGATTACCCCAGGTCCCACTCTCTCCATTCCTTTAGCCTTAAGAAATTCATCAAGAGAGGAGGAGTTAAAGAGGAGCTGCTCCAGGCAGAGCGATCACCTCTTCCGTTTCTCAAACACCAAGGCTCTCCAGAAGGAACCCTATGAATAGGCATCTCTCCAACACTTCTGGAGTTTTGATCTGAACTGTCTGGCTTAAAATTGTGTGCTGTGCATTATTTTTTTCTTTTCCTTTTTAAGGAAAAAAAGAAGGTTGGAAGGTGGTTAAACATCTTCACTCCCCCAAAACTTTTACAAAGCTTACAGGGGTCTCCCCTTCCATAGAGAAAGAGCTATGGTAGGGATAATGTGGCAGCCAGTCTGTCCTGAGGAAATTGAGAGTCCAGCTCCTGGTGAAAGGTAGATGAGAGGGAAGAAACCGCCAAGTCCAGCAGCCCTACTTGCAGCAGGAAGAATGGGTGTTTGAAAACAATTCAATTGTAGAAGCCCAAGTTGGCCAGCTAAAAACTCGTGCCACCCAACTCGGGAGTGGAGAGGAAGCTGGTTCCTCAATTGTCCAAGGCAATATGCCCATACATGAGGAAGGGGAAGGAGAAGAAGTTCTTCAGAAAGGAGTTGGAGAGCTACCCTAGCCTCCATTATACTCCTTTTTTGATGACCAAGAAGAAAACTCAGCATTACTGGGGCAATGGCTGACATCTTGACATCATAGAGACAGAATCTGGTTCCAGGTCTTCTGAGGTTTTCTGCTCACTGAAAAGAGAAAGGGTGTCAAGTTAAGAATGAGGAGTATGAAATGAGGAAGGAAAGGAACTCAAGCTAATTTCAACCTGCCTGGCCGAGTTAATAAGTTTTCTTCTATTTCAACCTCCATGTCCAAGTAAAGGGTACCAAAAACAAAATTTTTAAAATGCAAGATTTAGGGGCACCCAGTCCTTCTAACTTTGCCAATTAGCACCTTGCTCCACACTCCATCAGTACATCCTCTTTATACCCTTCACCTCCCCCACATCACAGACACTTACTTGGGTGAACTCTGACTCTTCAATTTCAAGCTTTTCCAAGAGGGTTGAACTAACAGGAGGGGGAAAAACAGAGGTAGAGAAAGAATTAGAAGATAAAGGAAAAAAAAACAACTATCCTCTCAAGTTTATTCTCTGTATTTCACTTCAGAATCAATTCAGCATTCAGAAAGAAGAGGCTAAGACGCTACTAGATTTAGAAACATTGTTTTAATTAACTATTTAGTTTCTGGAAACTATAAACTATTTCCTAATACCCTCTTCTTCTGTCTTCAATCCCCAGGTATGGTAGGCACCCAAATATCACTGCTGCCTGATATTCATGCCATTGTGTAATTCTCTTCTCTTGAGTGTAGGCTGGATTTAGTGATTTTCTCCTAGTGAACAGAATCTAGCACAGGTGATAGGATGCCGATTCGGAGGTTAGGTTACAAAAAGACTATAGCTTCCTTTTGGGTACATGCTCTCTTACTTGTTTGCTCTTGGGAAAACCAGTTGCCATGCTGTGAGCTGTCCTATGAAGAGGACCATGTGCTAACAAACTTAATGCTGCAAACAACTACATAAGCTTGGAAACGGATCCTCCCCTGGGTAAGCCTTCAGATGAGACCACTGCCCTGGCTAACAGCTTGACTGTAATGTCCTGAGATACCTTAAGCCAAAGACACCCAGCCAAGCCACACCTAGATTCTTAGGCTACATAAAACATGAGACAATAAATGTTTGTTGTTTTTAGCTGCTAAGTTTTGGGGTAATTTGTCATAAACAATAGATAATAATATAACAAGAAATGAAGTGCTGCTGTAAGAAAAATCTAAAATGTGGAAGTGGCTTTGGAAGAAGGAAGTGAGCTTCAAGGAGAGTTTTAGTGAAAGTTTAAAAGTGCCCTAAATATACTATAGAATTTTGGACTTTAAGTGGGTTGCCAATGAGAGCTGAAAGTGAGGGAAAAAACTCGTATTAGAAAATGAAAGGGGAACCTTATAATATAGTGGAACAAAGTTTAGCAACAATGTCATCTGCAGTTATATGTAAAGTAGAATATATGCCTAATACTGGATGATCTTGTTATGGAGATTTCTAAAGCATAGTGCTACCTGATTTCTACTCCTTTTTTTTGTTGCTGTTAATCCTCACTCGAGGAATTTTTCCACTGCCTTTTAGAGACAGTGGAAGGGAGGGAGGGAGTAAAGAAGGGAGACATGGATTGGAGACACGAGCCTTGAGCCCCAACTGGGGCAAGGGATCAAACCTGCAACCCAGGTACATGCTTTCAACCGGGAATCAAACCTGAGACCCTTCCATGTGCGGACTGACGCTCTAACCATTGGAAAATACTGGTCAGGGCCTGATTTCTTCTTAATGCTTATGGTAAAATATGAGAGAATAATAACTTAAGGGAAGGATTAAACAAAACGAAGCCAGGACTTGACAATAGTTTTGAAAAGTCTGAGCCTCTCAGGATAGCAAACACTGCTAAAATTCAGAAGCGCCTACAGCCCTGCACGGTGTGATCAGTGGTAGAGTGTCAGCCTGTGCACAGAAGGGTTACAGGTTCAATCCCCAGCCTCTGGTCACCTGGGGAGCATGGACGAGGCAAACAATTGATCGATGTCTGTCTCTCTCTCCCCCTTTCCCTTTCTCCCTTCTACTGTCTCTAAAAATCAATGGAAAAAATATCCTCCAGTGTGGATTAAAAACAAAAAAAGAGAAGAAATGGCTTCAGAGTAAGACTAAAATCCAATATCAGGAAAAAGTGGTCTAAAGTTGAAGCCATGGGTATGGACTATAAAATAATTTTTTAATTTATTTTTAATCCTCACCCAATGATATGTTTTTATTGACTTCAGAGAGAGAGAGAGAGAGAAACACTGATGTTAAAAATACTGATTGGTTGCCTCCAATACAGGCCCCAACCAGGTATGTGCCCTGACCGGAAATCGAACCTGTGACCCCTGCAGTGCACAGGACGCTCCAACCGAGCCACACCAGCCAGGGCTGTAAAACGTTTTTTTTAAGGCCACAGAAAAATCAAAGTTGATACTTCAGAGCACATTCAGTCATAAATAAAAGGCCATTCAAAACGATTAAGGGTATGCGCCTTACAGATCCTCTCAACAACAGGATCTCTAAGAAGCAAAGGGCTTATCTGGCTGGTGTGGCTCAGTGGTTGAGTGTCAACCTATGAACCAGGAGGTCAAGGTTCAATTCCCAGTCAGGGCACATACCCAGGTTGCGGGCTAGATCCCCAGTATGGCTAGTTCCCCAGTATGGAGACTGATCAATGATTTTTTCTCTCTTCATTACTGATGTTTCTATCTCTCTCTCTCTCTCCCCCTTCCTCTCTGAAATCAATAAATATATATATGCATATATATATATAAAAGAAGGTACTTGTAGTTGAGGTTTTTGTCCAATGGAGTAAACCCAAATGACATTCACAGGAAGTCCAACCAATCTTTGAGAGAATTATCAGTAGAAACATCACCAGCTTAGACTGAAAAGAACAAAAGTAATGCAAAATGAAAAAGGACCACTGGATCCCCCAAATTCTACTGGCAAGAAGGAGGCTGAGTGTTTAGGAAGACTCAGAAGGCAAAACCGAGAGTCCAAAAGACAGAGCTGAGAATTATTCCCATGCTTTGAGACCTGATAAAGAAACTCGAATATTTGCTGTATTTTAGGTAGCTATGGATCGATTCCTCTGTGTCTCAAATTCACAATCTTTTAGTACAGGAATGTGTATAGGGGTTATCTAATGTCTGTCTCACCACTGTACAGTGGGCAGGTGGTGAGAAGATAGCTTGTCTCTTCATTTCACAGGTCCACAGATTGGGAGGATCAGCACTCAAGGAGCAATACCTGGGAAGCTCACTCAAACATGGAGCGAATTTGGATAACAAAATTCTGGACTTTGAGCTGATGCTATAATGGGCTGAAACTTTAGGAGACCAGGAGGGGGAATGAATTTTGCACATGGAGGGATGTGAGTCACTAGAGGTCAGAGGGTGGACTATAATAGGTGACTCTTAAGATGGCTCCCAGTGAGTCCTGCCTTCCTGGTATTCACACCCTTGTGCTATCCTTTCCTCGAGCATGGGTGAGATTTAGTGAACAGCATGGAGTACAGGTAGGAGGATGTCAATTCTGAGATCAGATGACAGAAAGAACGTGGCTTCTGCTTAGGCGCATGCACTGAGGGAAGCCAGATATCTGAGTTGTCCTATGGAGAAGCCCATGTGGCAAAGAACTGAGGGAGGCCCTGGCCAACAGCCAGCAAGGAGCTGAGGCTCTCAGTCCAGCAACCCACGAAGGACTGAATCCTGCCCAAAACCATATAAATGAACTTGGAAATGAGCCTTCAGAAGAGGCCCTAGCCCTAGCCAACAGCCTGACCACCACCTCATGAAAGACCTTTACCCAGAGGACACAGCTAAGCTGCACTTAAATTCCAGACCCACAGAAACTGTAAGATACATTTTTAATTTTCAGCACTAAGTTTTGGGATAATTTATTATGTTGTAACAGATAATTAACACACCAGGTAACAAAACTGAAAGACAATCTTTACACTGGATTATTCTGAAAGATTGTTCACTGTCTAGGAATCTCTCCAACCTTCCATCCTACGCGGAGAACTCACTTATCTCACCAGGAGATGCAGGGCTCGCTGGGGTATTTTTACTGATTATCAGAAAAGCCTGCACACAAGCTTTCCCCACCCACAAAGGTACAGAGATATTGGCACATGTTTTAAACCCTAAAGATGAACACTAAGGAAGGTGAACCTGAAAAAGTCTAGTGAAGAACAGAAGACAATGATCTCTGGAAAAAAAACAGTTAGGGAAGTTCCTAAGGACCTAAAGATAGAGAGAGAGAAGATTACAGAGAAAGGGGCCAAGGAACCAACCTTGTAGATAACATTTGCAAAGTCTCTCCAACTACAGGTGAAAAACAGGGGTCAGGAATAGTTGAGACCTCACTGATTTTCTCCAAAGGTGGAGTCTGAGGTAAAACATCAGGACGACCGAAGTGGACGCCTGGAAAAAAGAAAGGGGAAGAAAATCAATAAGTAAAAAAGAAGAAAAAATGGGGTGGGGGAAACACAGGGAAAATTATGTAGCAACTTGGCTTTTCCTGGACAGGAATAGGAAGCAAAGGTCCTGAGCAAATAAGGACTCAGAAGGAAGGGAAGGAGTGCCCAATCACATGGGAGCCCCGCCCTGGCGCTGACCTGGCTCCACTTCCGCCTTTGTTGTCACTTGTGCCTTGTGCTCCCCAGAGACCGGTGGCTGGTAAGTAATGCAGGAGTTGCCGCTGGGGCCTCCTCGCCGAGAGAAAGATGAGCCAGACCGAAACTTTTTGGAAGGAGAGGGCTTCACTTCAAAAGGGAAAGAGAGAGCCTACTTAGCACCCCCCTCAGAAACCATCACCAAGACAAGGTACAAACTGCTAGCACCCCCAACACAAACACAAAGTTGTTTTTCTGCAAAGCAGGAAGAAGGGTTAATATCAACAAAGACGGGCTCTACGAACTACTTTTTAGAGGAAGGGGCATCTCGGTTCACTTCACTTTGGAAACAAGAGGGGAACCTAGAAAAAGGAGACACATACATCTCTCACCCCCTCCTACAAGCGACCTCAATGGCTTAGCTTCCACCTGATGAGATGTTCTCTATTCCAGCGGTCGCCAACCGGTGGTCCATGGACCACTGGTGGTCCGCGAGGTCCGAAGGTTGGCGACAGCTGCTCTATTCCATGCGCCATTCTTTAATAGTATCCTTCAGTTAAAGCTGACAAAGATGACCCTTTCACTCTATATCCTTGAAGTACTTATGCACACGGCACTATGACGACACTTTACACACTTGTTTATACATCCCTTTGAGAAGACTGTAAAAGGATTTTCCCATATTTCTTAAGACTGTGTGGCAGACTAGGTCCTCTGACTCACTGAGGGATGCCTGTGATGAGGAGATGGGGAGGAGGAGGTGGAATTTATCAGTGGCAGCAGCATGAAAGGTTTGGAAAGAAGAACATTGGTACTTTCCTATCAAAAAAGTTGAGGGAAGAAAATAAGAACACCTGCTAAGCGACATCAGTAAATGCTTCAACCATTTGAATCCAGTCTGAGAACTCCTTGGCGTTAAATTTATAAACAGAAAATAGAACACTGGTAATATCCTTGCCTACTTCTGTCCATAAAAGTCTGACTCTGCCTAGCTCGGCCTGTGACATGGATCCTACACCCACACTACATATTTTTTGAAATCCCGCCAATTTCCCCAAAAAATGCCCCTCACCTCAATGACACATGTAGGGAGAGCCAGGGGGAAAGCAGCGAGCAACTTGGAAACGACTGGAACAGACAGAGTGACTGACATAAAGACAGGCAGCAGCTATCATGGAATGTGGGTAGAGCAGGAGAAGCCTCTGGCTTTGGCAGTTCCCTGACAGAGGTGTCCTGCCCCTCATCTCTTGAAGGGAGCCACTGGGGGTTCATCTGGTAGAGGCCACTTACAGGGGATCTTCTTGAACACTGTGTTGCACATGAAGCGCTGGAACCGTTCAGCGTAGAAGCCTGGGCGATGCACCGATACGGTGTCCTGCAGAGCAGAAGAGATGGCTGCAGAGTTAAGAGATGGAGGAGGTCCAGAAAAAGAACCTCTAGTCCAAGGGCCACTTTCCCTAGGCTGAGACCCTAGTAGAAGGGTAAAACCCACAAATAAAATGAGATAATAAGAAACTGAGGGGGGCGAATCAGAAGTGAGGGAGGCAGAGGGAGAGTCTCTAGCTAATTGCTACTCACCCCATCATGTACCAATGCTTTCCAAGAGTGCTCCAACTTCTTAACAAACCTGCCAAAGAAAATGTGTATTATGTATACATAACCTTATACTTTTTTATTTTAGGGAGTTAGAGTCAATGGTAATAGAAAAACTTAAAAAGACAGAGGCTGGGGAAGCACTCCCACTAATATACTGGCTTTCCAAAGAATAGACACAGTAGTACTTACTCAGTATAGAGAGCAAAGATGTTTCTAGGTAGGTCAATTTTCCCAAGAGAAAGGGTAGTTAATAGAGAAAGGGACAAGAATATTTATTGTAAAAGAACAGCTAGAAGAATAGATGGGCAAGCCTCTGAGAGAGGAGCTAAAATTGGATAATATTCTGAATCTGCAAACCAAGCACTGTCCAGTCCTTTTTAGTACCTGAAACCTTACAGGAGCAAAATTGGGGTCTTGTACAGGGTGTCCCAAAAAAATGTATGTACACTTTAACAGCTGATAGCTCAATTTTGAAAATGAAATGTACTTTAATAAACACTGCCTTTATAATTATTCAAAATATGTGTATATATACATTTTTGGACACCCTATATTTCTAGTGCTTCCCTCACCACTACTTCACTGCCTCTTAGTTCCACGGACCAATTAATAGTTTTCACAGAACACAGTGACCCTCTGTGGGTCATGGAAAAGGGGAACATGTTTCCTGCTGTAACCCAATGTGAAGTATGACTCACCTCACAGGTTTTTCAGAGTCAGACAAATGGTATATTTTACCCTGGTGCTTCCCAGAACTGACTCAGCTTTCCACAGATGTGCATGTTATGTTTGGGAAGGTGGTGGGGTAAAGAAGCCAAAAGACAGGCAAAGATCAAGGAAATAATCACTGCTTGACACCCAATGAGATAAGCAGCCAGATTATAACTCGCTGCTCTTGGATCAGTAAGAGTTTTGTGACAAACCCATCTTCAAGAGAAGTGAGGGGTTATCTACATCCACTTTGCCCCCTAATTTGGAATTCTTATGTTTCTCACCTGTACGATTGCAGAATGTCAATGATCCCGATATAAAGCAGCAGCCTTTCCCCTTTACTATTCCGGGCAGGGATGCCACCCAGACTGAGGAAGACAAAAGGGAAAGAGAAAGACAATCTTTTGGCTAGCAGGTAACTAAACATAATGGTCCCATCTTCCATAAACTGGGAAATAATAAGAGACTTCCTCTGACCCGACCACTCTGGAGTATGTATTATAACCTCATCCTCTCCAATCTCACTATCCTGCCTCTGCCACCCCAATTCCACCAAAGAGAATCTGAAATTACCTACTCAGCAATTTTGGGAATATTTACCCAATTAACTCTAAACTCCTTCCATCAGTGCTTTCATAGTTAAATCTATGCTCACTAAGACACTCTTCTTGAGTCATATTAAAGGATACCTTAAAACCGAAACCAACTAAAAAACATCTCTGGTCCCTTCAGTAACTACACATCCTTGATAGATACATTATGGTAAGATAGATGGAAATAAGTCTGTAATAAATTGCTTTTTATGAAATTCTAATATTTGCAGACGTGTCTAAGACTCTGAATGACCTTTTAAAAACAAGTCTTTTAATTTTGAATAGCTTTCCTTCCCAAGTGTACTACAAATCCCAAATTTAGGATACCATCCTTTCCTTTTAGGCTCTTAAGAAAGCTTATCCTAGGCCCTGGCTAGGTAGCTCAGTTGGTTAAAGCATAATCCCAATATGCCAAGGTTCGATCCCTGGTAGGGCACATATAAGAATCCAACAGTGAATACATGAATAAGTGGAACAACAAATTGATGTCTTTCTCGTCTTTTCTTTCTTTAAAATTGATAAATTTTAAGAAATATATGTTTTTATTGATTTTAGAGAAGAAGGGAGAGAGAGGGAGAAAGGGAGGGAGGGAGGGAGGGAGGGAGGGAGGGAGGGGGGAAGGGGGAGAGAGAGAGAGAGAGAGATAGAGAGAGAGAGAGAGAGAGACAATGATCAGCTGCCTCCCGCATACCCCCTACAGGGGATAAAGATTGCAACCTGGGCATGTGCCCTGACCAGGAATGGAACCAGCAACCTCTTGGTGCATAGGACAACACCCAAACAAATGAGGCACGAGCCAGGGCTAAAATCAATAAATTTAAAAAAAAAATAGCCCTAGCTGGTTTGGCTCAGTGTATAGAGCGACGGCCTACAGACTGAAGGGTCCAGGTTAGATTCTCAGTTAAGGGCATATGCCTGGGTTGCAGGCTGGATCCACAGTTGGGGGTATGCAGGAGGCAGCCAACCAGTGGTTCTCTCTATCTCTCCCTCTCCCTTCCTCTCTGAAATCAATAAAAATATATTTTAAAAAATTAAAAACAGAAAGCTCATTCTATAATCTGTAAGCATTAACATTGTTGGCTTAACTGCTGAATCAAGGCTACTCCTTCACAGAAGCTGCGTCCCTTCCTGAAGAAATGCTATTAGCCTATGCTCTCCTTTCCTGATGACCCTGAGCCCACTCACTGGTCTTCAGTCTCCATGGTGCCGCCTCGCCGAGCCTCGCCCTGGATAGATTCCATGGCTGTGGAATAGAGAGCCTTTTGGGGAGCTGGTTTGCGTGTATCAACTGAGTATAGTGTTTCATGGGCTGAGGGTTCTCGTTGTGCGTGATCTATGTTATGGATTGACATCAGGAGGCTATAGTCCATTATCTTGAAACTCTGCAGCACCTAATGGGAGGAAATAACATGATCTGAGCCTTGGGTGGCATGAGAAGTTTTTTCAGGACCTCGCAGCTTTTCTGGTCCAATTATTCTTGATAGTGAACCTCTAGGGCTAACCACAGAATTATCCTTTTCTTCTCCTAGTCCTTGGAGAAAAGCTATCAGCCTCCTCTTGGCTGCTCTTCATTTGTTTCCCCTCAGCTTTCTTTCATTTGAGTAAACACAAAATAGGCAACTGCCTAGCTGACAAGATACCCTTTGTTCTTTCCTTTTTTCTCTTCACAAAAACATCATTATATTCTCAAGGGAATAAGAAATACATATCTGTGCTGTAAAGAATCCACAAGGAGGGTCTGGTAAAGTATACTTTGTGAAAGAGCAGATCTGTTGCAAGACCTAATACAATCAGCTTCAATTCAGTTCAATATTTACTGAATACCTACCATCTATAGGCACTGTGCTTACTAATGGGGAATACAAAGATACTTAAGAGAGTTTCTGTCCTCCAGAATGTTATAATCTAGGAAGAGAAACAAAAGTGAAAATAAATACAGTCTAATGTGTACAATGGAAGTGCTTACATAATTGAGGAGCAGTCTATAGGTCAGGAAGTAATACATACATAGGGTTATGAAAGATAAATTACAGAGAAAATAAGTCTAAGTACATAAAGGAAAGAATATTTCAAGGTCTGGAGGCATGAAACAGCATATTATGTACAGGAAGGTATAATTTGGTATTTCTAAAACATAAAATACAAAGGCGAGGTGAGGCAGATTAGAGAGGCTGGCAGGGGTAAGACAATGACAGGTCTGATATGTTGCATTAAGGAGCTTGGATCATATCCTATAGTTCTCACCACTCGTCCCCTACCCAGAACAGGGTGAAAAAGGGTTTATTCCCACCAGTCCAGGAGCTCACTTTGGTGCTGTACCTCAACCACTTAGGTAGGTGAATAGAGTAAGGGATGAAGAGAACAGGATTGACTCTTATGTATAGTTTGAAAAAAACATTTGTTTCACTATGTTCCTAGTCCTTACAACCAAAGGAGTCAAACTAAAATAGGCATTATCCTGAAATAGATGCAGAATAAGCAAAGCCAGTTAGAGAAAAAAATACCAGAGATGTAGAAAAATCAATAGGGAAAGATGTCACCAAAAGAAGATATGTTAAAAAAGTGGAAATAGTTAACTGTCAAATGCTTCAGAAAATTCAACAAAACCTAGAAGTCCTTTCTATTTGGCATTTCTGTAGTCAATGGGGAGAGTGGTTCAACTGAAGTGATGAGAACAAAAGCCAGGACACAGTAAGTTGAGAAATATGAAAAGAGAAAGAAAAAGAAGAAATATAATCATCATTAAATGCAGACATTGAAAAAAATCCTCCTAATTTTAAGATAGAAGAAGTAAGCTTGTTTGTGTGTAGAAAGAAAATAGTCAGTAGAGGCTGAAGCCAAAGGTGGAAAAGGAAGCAAGTTATGAAGCATGATCTTTTTTTTTTTTTTTTTTAAATATATTTTATTGATTTTTTAGAGAGGAAGGGAGAGAGATAGAGAGATAGAAACATCAATGAGAGAGAAACATCGATCAGCTGCCTCCTGCACATCCCTACTGGGGATGTGCCCGCAGCCCAGGTACATGCCCTTGACCGGAATCGAACCTGGGACCTTTCAGTCCGCAAGCCGACGCTCTATCCACCGAGCCAAACCGGTTTCAGCATGAAGCATGATCTTAAAGAAATAGGAGGAAATGGATCTAGAGGACAAAAGGGGTTGACCTGGAATAAGCCACCAAGTTGGTTAAGAAAGGAGATTAAGGATGGTTTATAAATTAGTGATGGGGCAGGACAAAGGGATGGAATGGAATAGGAAGTTGAGGTGGTTTCTTTTCTTTTTTTTAATATATATTTTTATTAATTTTTTTACAGAGAGGAAGGGAGAGGGATAGAGAGCTAGAAACATCGATGAGAGAGAAACATCAACCAGCTGCCTCCTGCACACCCCCTACTGGGGATGTGCCCGCAACCCAGGTACATGCCCTTGACCGGAATCGAACCTGGGACCCTTCAGTCCGCAGGCCGACGCTCCATCCACTGAGCCAAACCAGTTAGGGCTGAGGTGGTTTCTTGAGAGACAAGGCTGGGGGATGGAAGTTAAAAAGTGGTTTGACAAACATACAAAGAAACAAAAACAAACTCACAGATATAGCAAGGTGGTTACCAGCAGGAGAGGGGGTTGAGGGGGAGAGCAAAGAAGGGAAAGGGGGTCAGATACACGGTGACAGAAGGAGACTAGATTCAGGTAGTAAGCACATAATAGACTGTATAAATGTCGTATTATAAAGTTATACATCTGAAATTTATATTCTATTATTAACTGTTACCCCAATACATTTAATTTGTTTTAAGTGACAAAGAAAGTGGTTTAGTACGGCTGATGTGGCTCAGTGGTTGAGCACTGACCTATGAACCAGGTTCTCATGGTTTGATTCCTGGTTTCAGGCTAGATCCCCAGTAGGGGACGTGCAGGAGGCAGCCAATCTATGATTCTCTTTCATCATTGATGTTTCTATCTCTCTCTCCCTCTCACTTCCTCTCTGAAATCAATAAAAATATGTATTTTTAAAAGGTGATTTGAAGAGAGTGCCAATTATCTGAACTATCTGAGAGAAACAGAAAATGGATTGATGAGGGAAACTGAAGGCCTAGGTGGAAATGGATATCATACATCTATAGGGATGCCAGTACACATAGCTGTGTGAGAGTAGCCAGCTTCCAAGATATAAATTTAGATTTGGCAGGCAGGGCCAAGATCTGAGGAATGATGATGCTGGTATGAAAATAAGACTGTATGATTATGAAGCCCAGAGTAGACAGAGAAGGAAATAAAGCCAGATGGGGGAGGAGACACAGAGAGGAAGTAAAAATGTAAAGGCTTAACAATGATCTAGTGTAAAAATTATTTTAAATGAAGCCTGGGAAATATGAAGTGAAGGAACACTCAAATCTCCCATAGATTTGAAGCCCAAGGACAACCAAGCTATTTTAGTGATTGAGATTTTTGGTGTCTGTGAGGGAAGGGAATCTGACAAACTCACCAAACAGTCACGCTGCAGGGTCTTACAGAGAGCATTGTACATATCAGCATCCAAAAAGAGACCATCAGGGATGTCTTGTAGGAAGTCCAGGTCTTTAAGAGTGGGGAGAGGCTTCTCTCGCTCTTTTTGGGAAGCCCGTCGTTTGTAGGTTGAGCCCTTGAGGTCATATTTGATATGCATCTTGACTGACCGTGGTAAGAGGTTATTCATTACCACAATTCGAATATTCTTACCACCTGCCTGCACACAGTACAGTCCATAGAATTTAGGCAGCAAAGTCCGAGGGTTCTGGTTGAGGTTCTAAGGGCGCAAAAATAAAAAGTAGGAGAGTAACTTAGCTGACTTTCAGTGAAATTCAAGGGCAAAAGCTGCCACCCATCTTCATTCATCTATTACTTGGGATTCAAGTACAATCTGTCTGCCCATAACCAAACACCATATACCATATTTGTTTGAAATTTCCCAATGCATTTAATGATGGGATCAGGCTCTCCAATATAGTAATCAGTTAGGATACTGAATGTATGATGAGTATATTCCTTTAAGAGAGGTTTAAGAGAAGACAGCATTGAAAAAGTCTTAACTCTTAGCCCTTGGCATAGTATATTCTTGTGTATGATGGGAGGCAAAGGAGAGTCTCCTAATTTCTCGAGAATCCCCAAGAGCAGTCAGTCGAGTAAGATCAGATAGAGTACTGTCAAGGGAAGTAAACAACCCCATTCTCCAATGTAGGAGCTGAGCTAAGAATAGGAAGCAAAATCATAATTGCACCCTTTAAAAAAAATTTTTTGAACATTATTTTATTTATTTATTTGGAGAGAGAGAGAAATATTTGTTGTTACAGTTTGTCCCAGTTATTTATGCATTCATTGATTGATTCTTTTATGTGCCCTGATTGGGGATAGAACCTTCAACCTTGACATATCAGTATGACGCTCTAAGCAACTGAGCTACCTGGCCAGGGCCATCATTAAATCTTGCCTTTGGATAGGACAGTTTAAGCCAAATATAACACTTAAAATAGGACAGCCTGGCTGGCATGGCTCAGTGGTGGAGCGTCAACCTATGAACCAGAAGGTCACAGTTTAATTCCGGGTCAGGGCACATGCCCGGGTTAGGAGCTTGATCCCCAGTGTGGGGCGTGCAGGAGGCAGTCGATTAACGATTATCTCATCTGTGATGTTTCTATATCTCTCCCTTCTTCTCTGAAATCAATAATAATATATATTTAAAAGTGGTGACATTGTTTTGCCCCACAGAAGACAGCCTCCCCACCCTGTCCAGGAGTAAAGAGGGCAGCAAAGGTAGCCAGTGCTCCTCTTCCCCTCACCATGTAGTATCCTGGAAGCAGCTTCTGTAGAAACTCCGCCTCTTTATGCTGGACTGTTTTAATGATGAATTCGTCATCACTGGACACGTAGAAGAGGGAACCACTAGCCCCAGAATTGCAGAGTTCAATCAGCGGCTCACTGCAGAGGGAATACTGAGCCCCAGAGAGAAGAGAACAAGAAGTTCAGAAATACCAGGACCTGCCCAACCAGAAATCAACTGCAGATGAAATTCTGTTCCAAAAGAAAACTAGAGTAAGACTATGGAGTGAGGGGGCTCCAATATAGGAGTCACAGGGTCATGAGATGCGGGAGCTTACCAAGTAATCATCAGGCCGGATACCAAATAATTCTCGAAAGTAGCGGAAAGCAACAGGTGCGTAGGTTTTGAACCGAAAGTCATTGTAGTGATGAGCAGGGGTCAGGTTGCTCCCTTCACTGTGGGGTTAAATAGAAGAAGCCATAAATTACCAGTCCCTGTTACCCAGGGAGTCCACCCTGGGAGTCACCCAGAGGCAGAGTCAATACATCCCTTCTGATAGAACCAGAGGGATTAGATGAGTCAGTTACTTAGTGGGACAAAAGCACAACATAGGATGCTAGCCCGTTTGGCTTAGTGGATAGAGCATCGGCCTGCGGACCGAAGGGTCCCAGATTAGATTCCAGTAAAGGACACATGTTGGGGTTGCAGGCTTGGTCCCAGTGTGGGGCATGCAGGAGGCAGTTGATCAGTGATCATCTCTCATCACTGATGTTTCTATTTTTCTCTCTCCCTCTCTCTTCCTCTCTGAAATCAGTAATTTAAAAAAAAAAGTTTTTGTTTTTTTTTAAAAAGCACAACATGGGGATGAAAACATAAGCACATGCATGGAATTGTTTTTGTTTTTGTTTTTGTTTTTTAGGGCTCTTTAGGCCAGAGGCTCATGGAAACATCCAAAGGACAGCATCTATTCTCCACATCCTAGTGTCCCATATCACCCTGATTAAAATCAGGTTAAGAATTGGACACATGCCTAAATTAGACCCAAACCCCTAAAAGTGGCCTGAGGTTAATATGAAAAGGCACACTTTCCAGGACATTGTCCTGAACATTAACCTCTTTACCTGGGGAAGAAGATACTCTCCACCACGTAAAAGTCTTGCATGAGGACATCCCGCTCTGGTTTGGTACTCAGACTCCCTACAGTGTGAGTAATGCCTAACTGAATGGCACCTTTCAAGGCTGATGAGGTTGTCTGAAAACAGAAAGGAAATAAGGGCAAAATTTCTAGAATTAAATCTGATCATAGCAGTAAAAACTCAGGAGGGAGAGCCAGAAGGAGCACTTAAAGCAAACGCCCTTCTAAGTAGTTCATCCTAACCCAGTTTCCCCATCCCCATGTTTTACATTGCAGTTTAGCTTGGCAAAGAATGGAAGGGCCTAAGATTCAGAGTAGCAAAGGTGGGACTGTCCTAGCCAGCCTAAGCTAGGCAAGATGTTCCCTCCTCTCCATATTTATATTTGGAAGATACATTGTATTGAGAGAACAATCTTAGGTCTCACTCCAAAAGTTCCTTCCCCCAGAGTATCTGGGGCCCTCCAAACATTTTATTCATCGGATATAGGATGCAGTTAAAATTAACTAACGTTCTGGTTATCTACCCAGCAACAGAAGCCTCCGTCCTCTAAGGCAGGGCTTGATTGGTGTTCTGAGGACAATAGAGTGGCAAAAAACAGCAACAAAAAATTCCTAACTGAAAAAACTCAATTTTAAATCTAAAAACTTCTCAGAAATTATCACACTATGGTTAAAACACAAATGCAAGAGCCCCACTCTTACAATCTAGGATTTCAATCCCATGGAAAAATATCACATCACCTACATATATGCTGTCCAGTACAGTAGCCTCTAGCCACACATGGCTATTTAATTTTAAGTTAATTAAAAATTTGCTTCTTCAGTCTTACTAGCCACATTCAAGTATGACTAGTGGCTACCATAATGGGTAACAAACAGTACATTTCAATCACTATAGAAAGTACTATTAGGCAGTTTTGTTCTACATCATTTTCCTCATCCCTAACTCTCACCAGATATTACTTGTATTTCTACTTAGTCCTCACAGGGCATTAAAATTATAACTGGCATTTTTAAGTGTCTGCCTCTCTAATTAGACTAGAAACTCACCCTTTTGTCTCAATGTTCAGCATATAAAAAGAGCTCAATAAATGTTTGTTAAGTTAACATGGGCCTCAGTACCCATTCCTGAAAATGAGTCAGTCTACCTCTATTACTTGGGACAAATGCAATAAAGGCAGAGAACAGACACAAGAAAATTGTATGTGAGCCAGAAACAGAACTCCAAGAAATCTGCATGCCCTATATCAGACAAGACACAGCTGCTAAATGGGAGGTTGAACACTGTCCCTTGGGAAGGGCTAGGCATCTCCAAATTAGTCCAGAACCGAAGACCTGAGATCACCCCAAGATGCTTTTCTCCAGTTTTCCCTTCATCAGTTCAATTTTCTGTTCTTAGCTAGTACTACTATCTTTCCAATCCATTAGAAAGCTCAAAAAGCAGGTGTTCTAGGCCCTCTTCACCAGCTGAAACTACATTCTTTAAAAAAACACATGCCCTGACCAGTGTAGCTCAGTAGGTTGGAGCTTGGTTCCATACACAGAAAGGTTGTGGGTTCAATGCCTACAGGAGGCAACTGATCAATGTTTCTCTCTCACACTGATGTTTCTCTCCCCCCCCCCCCTTCTCTTGCTTTCTCCCTCTCTCTTCTTCTCGCTCTAAAATCAATAAAAACATCCTCGGGTGAGGATTAAAAAAATAAAAAATTAAGGTGAAGAAAATCTTAAAAAAGCACACTCTTAAGAAGAAACAAAGGAAAACACTGACCCGATGTCAATCTGTATCACCAGGCTGGGGGAGATATGGCCTTGATTTTATGTACATCCAGCACCAGAGGAAAGATCAAAAGACTTAAAGAGACATGATTCTGCCCAGCTGGCGTGGCTCAGTGGTTGAGTGTCCACCTATGAACGAGGAGGTCACTGTCAGGGCACATGCCCCAGTTGTGGGCGCCATCCTCAGTGTAGGGTGTATAGAAGGCAGCCAATCAATGATTCTCTCTCATTAGTGATACTTTTATCTCTCCCTCCCTCTCCCTTCCTCTCTGAAATCAGTAAAAATATTTTTTTTAAAAGAGAAACATGGTTCCCTGAAGCAAGGGAAGAATGACATTCAGGGCTTGAAAATTGTTTATACCTAATAGGGAAGCCCAGTTTCTTCAGCTCAGCGAAATAGCAACCACCATCAGATTTGTCCATGAACAACATTCTCATGTAGTCATACGTATACAGATAAACGATATCTCACTTCACCCTTTGTGAAGTAAACGCTAAAGTCCAAGTTGTATAATAGCTATTGTGCAAAGGCTTAAGATATCAAGAAATGGGAGAGAATAAGGAGAATATCAAGGGGACAGGACTACCCCTTCCTGAAGATGAAAGGGTTCCACCCAGACACACCTTTTTATATGTCGTCTCTCCTGAGGAATCAACACCTCTGTGGCCTATTTTCTTGATGGACATGCCAGGGGCATAAGGCACCTAGAAAAAGAAGAGTCAAGATTAATATATAATTCCCATGTAATACACCAAACAGCTACCATGACGACAAACCAAAACATTCAACATACCCTTTTTAGGTTATGAACATTTATAAAATCTTCAGAAGACCCACCCTATGCAAACACACAGCTACAGTGTTGCTTCCCAGTGAATTAACTGGCTGAAAGAACACAGAAGAAAACCCGAGGGATGCATATTTCACCTTTGGCCCTCAGAATAACAACACAGAAAGTAAAAATGAGTATAATTAAAGAAAAGTGGAAACAGGAGAAGTTCAAAAAAGCAAGACAGGTTACAAGTTCCACAGTTCCCCTCTTTTTTTCACCAGCTTCCTTTCAGAAATTACTACCTCTCTAACCTTCAATCTAATCTGAATACCAACTGCTCAAACTGAATTTACCATGAGAAATTATCTTGCCACTGGCAAATGCAAGTACTGCGAGGCCAGGAATGAAAAGGCTGAGGCAATAAGATGACTCCTCTGAGATAGTGTATGGGTCTCAGTGCCTTGAAGAGATTCCTGAGAACATAATATGCCTTTGTTTTCTACCCATATATCAGCCCCTGAAATAAGGAAGAGGTAAAACCAGTAGAGCAGAGCCTAGAAGGCTATTCCCCACAGCCAAAATGCCAGCACAACAGACAGGAAGGTCTTCTTCATGATGTCAATGCTAATTAAGTTAATAATCCAGGAGGCAAGAAGGCTAGTGAAAATAGAATGTCATGATCTTAGGACTTGATATTCAAGTTCTACTTCTTGCTAAGGCTCTTAGTGCTAGAAAACCATCTATATATAACCTCACAGTTCTTAGAACAGTGGTTCTCAACCTTCCTAATGCCACAACCCTTTAATACAGTTCCTCATGTTGTGGTGACCCCCAATTTCATCGTTACAAATTGAACATAATTAAAGCATAGTGATTAATCACAAAAACAATATGTAATTATATATGTGTTTTCCGATGGTCTTAGGCGACCCCTGTGAAAGGGTCGTTCAACCCCCAAAGGGGTCGCGACCCACAGGTTGCCAGGACAAAAGGATCCACATTCTGAAGCCTCGTCATACAACCCAGGAGAGAGGCAAGAAGAGGGCTGAGAAGCAAGTTAAGCAAATGGAAAACATTCTGCACAGAAAAAAAAAAGTAGGAAATTTAACTTCTGTATGGTTAAATGAAGATATTCAAATTCACTGAAGTTGTGCAACCAGAGGCAGTAACAGCAAAAAAAAGAGAGTAGGTTTTAGTGTGGGATTGTCTGGGTCTGAATCCTACACTTATCAATCTCACTTATTAACTATGTGACTTTGGACAAGTTACAGAACCTCTAATCCTCACTTTCCTCATCTGTAAGACATGAATTACAGTACTTCCCTCATAGGAGTTGTTTGCAAGATTACAGGTCACTTAGGTACATTATTTATTCTTTGGTACATTAAAAATGTATTAAATTGCCCAGCTGATGTGGCTCAGAGGTACAGCATCGACCCATGCACCAGGAGGTTACCAGACAGAGCACATGCACAGGTTGCAGGCTTGATCCCCAGGAGAGGGCATATAGGAGGCAACCGATCAATGATTCTCTTTCATCATTGATATTTCTATCTCTCCCTCTCCCTTCCTCTCTGAAATCAAGTATACTTGTGTGTGTGTGTGTGTGTGTGTATAAAAGAATCAACCAATGAATGCATAAATAAGTAGAACAACAAATTGATGTTTCTCTCTCTCCCCCTCCCTCTCTTTACAATTTATAAAAAATAAACTGCAACAAAAGTAGAATTGCATAATTTCTAGCTCACCAAACAGATATAAGAACTCTGTCTAGTTCCTGAGACTTAAACAGGGGGGAAATAAAGATGTCAGAACCAGCCCTAACCGGTTTGGCTCAGTGGATAGAGCTTCGGCCTGCGCAACGAAGGGTCCCAGGTTCAATTCCAGTCAAAAGCATGTGCCTTGGTTGCGGGCACATACCCAGTAGGGAGTGTGCAGGAAGCAGCTGAATCGATGTTTCTCTCTCATTGATGTTTCTAACTTTCTATCTCTTTCCCTTCCTCTCTATAAAAAAATCAATAAAAATATATATATTAAAAAAAAAAAAAAATGTCAGAACCAGGTATCCTTCTGGTTTTAGAACCAATGTATCAATAAGAAACTTACCTCAGATGCCATGGCTCTCTTGTTTCCAGAAGCTGTTAAAAAAATAAACAAAACACAATTATAAATGTGTACACACACCCACTCAGATATCTCTATCCTGCACACTGAAACAATCAGGGTCTGAGTCAAATTAAACCTAACAATGAGCTCTGGCCTCTCGCTCTGTGATACCGTTTGGACAGAGATTTTAAAAGTCCCTTCCTCGTTCTCCCTAATATTCATAGAGCCCTTGGACATTCCATTCCTGTTCCAGTCCCTTTTCTTACTCAAGTGTTCATATTTTTTCTGGGAAATAGACCTGTTCTTGATACATCAGAGTCAGAGGGTCTCACTTGATACCATGGCTAAAAGAGAAAGGGCAAAAGAGACCCAAGACTAATTGGAAAGTCTGGGGTTTGATTAATATTTTTTTCCTGTAGAACTAAAAGGGTGAAAATTTTTAGAGCATATCTATGGTGATTTACTCCTCTTTAATTATTTCAACTCTTCAGAAAGAGCTGATCTGTGAAGAAGAAAGAGGCTAAGGATGAGAAAATGCAAAATCGAAATAATGAAAAGGCATTCAGTGCAAGCAGAAACTGATTCTGCATCCCTACAGCCTCATCTTCATTTCTGCTGTAAACTCAACAGGAATTTGTTGGCATTTACTTACTAAAGTTTTACTTACTATTTAATCAGTGCAGGCATATTTGTAGTTAAATCTCATTATTATTTATGACTTTTATCCATTTAATTTTAGAAAAGATTTTAAGAATAAGTATGTTCAGAAAGCGACAAAAGATTATCTATAGAAAAATGTATTCTGATTAAGTCAATTCTTCAGGGGTTGCCATCACCATAACCTTCATCCATGATCACATCAGAGATACATTATCACTCAGGAAGGCAAACCTTCCTTCCCATTTCATATTGGAGAACGTTGGCCTTTGTCTTCATAGATTACTAATTATCACATCAATCTAGCTCTAAAGAATTCAAAAGGAATAAAGATTAGCCATATTAAAGAAAATTAAAAAGAGGAGTCCAAATGGGATGAATCTTCAATAACATAATACCTGAGTAGGAAGACCCTAGTTTCAGTCCATACATAAAGATTAATGTTGAGGCAGCAACAGGGACACATGGGATCGAGGATAATCAGGTAAAGCCCTAATTATAATTGTTTAAGACAAATGGTCAAGCACCCTGAGAATTTCAGAATATAGCTGGGCTCAGAGAGGTTAGAACAGCTCCTAGTAGCACAGACCAAGTATTTCTGGTACAATAAGCAGAGCAGCAAAATTTCCTTCCTCATGGTGAGTCAGAGTGGCAAAAAATGAAGAGCACCATAGTTTTCATTTCTCGTCCAAAAAAGGAGGCAAGGGAACTGTCACTTAGCTGTGAGGAGACATACTGCATAAAATAACCCCCCAAAAATGGGAGGAAAAAACATCAGTGCCCAATAATCTACATGTTTTGTAGGATGCTTCATCTTCAATAATGCTGACTTCAGCTGGGTGAAAGATTAGGCAAATTAGGACTGGAACCCTAAGCAAAAGCCAGGACGACTCAGATTTATAATTAAAACTCTACTGACTTACTACAAAATTTAAGGTGTCTGCCAACAAAAACAATAGTCAAACCTTTTATATATTACAACCTTTTAGCCAAGAGCAAGTCAACATGCTGAACTATTAAAAAATTCGAAGACCTGGGTTCAAACCCTTGTTATATCAGGCAAATTGCTCTCTATGTTTAACTAAAAGAAAAGAAACCTAAATTAGGTTATGTAAAGATTAGATAAGGTAAATTCAAAGTACTTTATGGACCATGAAGTGCTAAACAAATATGTTGCCAGATGTGATTTCTAATGCAAGAGCAAAGTTGAGTCCATAGTAAGGTTTAATGTTCAATTACCTAGAACATCATAAAATGTTAATTAGCATTTCAAAGTACTTGGCTCCTCCCAACTCCCCCCCACCCCAACATACTCTCCTGAAAGTACACACACATAACTATGGAATCAGTGATTCTCAATGAGGAAATCAGTATACTTTCAGTTGTTGAAGACAAACACTGATTCTGGACTCCTTGATCGGTACCTGGCCGACCCACTTTTCCCCCCAAGGAAGGGGTTTGGAAGGGATCTGGAAGAACCAAGAAAAGCCAATATCTAGTCCTAGTTTGACAGTCTCACCTACAAAATACGCAAGGAGTAATTGGACAAGTTAAATAATGGAGGGGGAAAAGCAGATAAATGATTTCAAGGCAGGGTCTAAGTTTGGGGCTTTCTAACTTCCAAAAGTTCTACTTTGCTAACTTTCCTGGTTTTATGACACAAACATATAGCTCTAGGGTTGTTAACTCTTGCAAAGTTTGCAGAATGAGGGTGGGAGAACTTCACTCAATGGAATTTTGGTGCCAACTACTTAGCTATCTCTAACTGCAAAGCTGGGATTAACCCAAGTACACTATAGCTGAAGCAGTTAGAAAGATATTGGGGTTTAAATAATAATAGAATAAATAATAGGGAGGAGGAGAATCAGGACCCAAGACTCACTCTCTTTCTTGCCTTAAGTTTTGCCCCTTGGGCACAGATCAGAGCTCTAACCTACCAAAGATGAATGGAAGGGAAGAGAAAAATGCTTAGAGAATTTTGCCAGTGTTGGTAAAACATCCAGTGCGGTACAGAAACCCAATGAAGAGCAGAGTGACATTTCAGGAAACCAGGTACCATCCGCTAAGGATTGACCAAATAGCCCAAAGCTCTGCCAATGAGGAATTGTCCACTGAGGAAGTACATGAGACCAAAGAGTCACCAGCACTGTACCTGTTCACCTCATAATCAAGCTCTCTTCTTTACGTGCAGTGAAAGAAAGGGCGGCGGGGGAAGGAGCCACAGAGGGAAGGGGAGGAGGAGAGAAGTGGGGGGGGGGGGGGGGGAGAAAGAGGTAAAAGACCAACTCAGCATGGCAATAACCGGCTTGGTAATAATGCCAGCCAACCACTGAGATTCATCCCTATGAATAACACTAAAATATTATTCAAAAGAAAGTTTGTTTTCTAGCATCTCTGTGGAAAATACTTTCTGATAAGGATATTGCACCACTTTATAATCCCTATCCATGATCCATATATATCATCCTCTTTTGGGGTAGGGAAATTGAATGGAGAGTAGAATTCCAATGTTGAAATTAACTTTTTTTCAAAGAAAAACTTTTTTTCCTGAGTAATTTTGGAACCTGCTTCTCCCCTTCTAAGTCAAAACTCTGGAGGACTATTATCAATATGGCTACATTATCATTAGTTTACTCTAGGAAATGTGGCATGTGCTGTAAGAAAGAAAGAGAGCACATTACCCAACAGTGGCTTATAGAAGCTGACAGCTTAGCTATAAAAGCCATTGGGAAGGTTCTACACTAGCTTCTCCTCGTTGGCTTAATTTTAACACATCTCAGCACAGCTCGATGCAAAATTATTTCTGCTCCTCTCCATTCACTTACTCAACAACTACTTATTGGTCACCTGTTATATGTCAGGAATTATGCTAGGTACTCTTGGTAGTTATGTTCCTGACCTGGAGGAGCTCATAATATTTCTACCTTTTCTCCATCACTTCGGCATCTCCATATTATCCTACTTCACCTTAATGGTGACTGTAAGACAACAACGAAATGCTGACACATTTTTAGAAAGGCTATTTCTCTCCACTGACCAAACAATGTATATTTTTATAGCACTTTAAAAGTTTACAAACCTATATCTTGTTTGGCCCTCAAAATAATATAACAGGATGTGGGAATTGTTTTTAATTAAGAGCTTAAGAGAGGTATTCACCAAATATAATGTGTAAAAGTTGTTTGGATGCTGTTTAGAAAATAAGCTACATATGCCGAAACCGGTTTGGCTCAGTGGATAGAGCGTCGGCTTGCGGACTGAGAGGTCCCAGGTTCGATTCCGGTCAAGGGCATGTACCTGGGTTGCGGGCACTTCTCCAGTGGGAGATGTGCAGGAGGCAGCTGATCGATGTTTCTCTCTCATCGATGTTTCTAACTCTCTATCTCTCTCCCTTCCTCTCTGTAAAAAAATCAATAAAATATAGTTAAAAAAAAAAAAAGAAAGAAAGAAAATAAGCTACAGATTTCTGAGACAGAGGCCTTGAGAGGGGAAATTAAATAACCTTTTTTAATTTTGAAGATGTGACACTGCTACCATGGTAATATTACAACTCCCTCTCCCTTCAAAATAGTCCTTATCTGTAGAGATACATTCTGAACTATTTATGGCTGAAATCACATGAAGACTGAGTTCGCTTTAAAAAAAATCCCAGGGGGTGGAAGTGGAAGACTGGAGAATAATAGATGCAAATTTGGCAAAATGTTGCTGTTGAAGCTAGCTGATGGGTAATGGTGGTTCATTACACTATTCTCTATACATTGTGTATGTCTGAAAAAATTTACAATTAAAAGTTTAGTGAAAAAATACCATAGAAGAAAAGAAAGCAAGTCTAGATAATCAAGCTTCTTCATCTGAGCTGGCTTCTTTCTGAGAGGTTTTCTCTAGTAAATGTAAGCATCAAGGATGAAGCACTAACAGAAATTGTTTTTTTATTTTACAGAATTCCCAATTCATGTCCATAGTTTATTTCCTTCATGACTATGAGACTCCTCCTTATTAACAGGCCCTGGACCAAGAAGCACTGTAAACAACTAGCTAATGTTGCTCTACTGGAAGCAAAAAAATAAAGCCATGACAAACAGGCTTCATCAGAAATAATAATGGTTCAAGTAACTTATTTTTGAGTGGGTCAATAGATGATATAGAGCTAATCATAGTAATTTCAAGCCTTACTTCCTCTACAGAAAGAAGACAATGAAAAAGACCTAAAGAACCATTTTTGGGGATTTTATTTTTTTAGCTCTAGCCTGGGTATGTTCAGTCTGGCTAAAATCTATAACTGTTAATGAAAGTTGATTTTTAAATAGAATAAGTTGAGAACTTAGCTTTTCAGCCCCCAAGTGAAGCTACTGTCCACTTTCAAGCTAACAAATCAATAACCATTTATATTAAGAAAAACATCATTCAGAAAGGACCTTTATGATTTTTAGTCTAATTTTTTTTAAAATAAATAAAAGCAGAGCATAAGGATGTGCTCAAAATCAGAGAGCAAAGCTGGTGACCAGGCCAGAATTGGAATCCATATTCCTAACCCCCAATCAACTCTCTTTTTCCTAAACCATCTTTTTGTTTTCATTTCCTGGTGATCTTGAGTCCAGGAGGGACAAGAAAGCACCTAGAGAACTAGAACGCTCTAACTAACACATCTCGAAACTGCTAATGGACAAGATGAACATATATTTTCTTCCCTGGAGGTACACCCTTCCCTTGGGACAAGAAAATGTATTTTTCACATTCCCTGACAGAGGATTAAAGAGCAGAGTCCTCCTCCTTCAGTTCTTCTCAAGTAGATTAACAATAACAACACTGTTCTCCTGGTAACAGTCATAATGTCACCAGCAAAAATACGTCTCCCTTCTCTTAGTGAGATTATCCTTGTTCTGAACCACACAATGCCAGTGTCTAGAGGAACAAATCTGTCTTTCAAGTCTGATACTTGAAAGAGCAGCTTCACAGACATTCAGGTCCTCACTAAGTAGCAGAAAGTATGTCTTTGCAGTAAGACCTCAACAACTTTAACAGAGGGGGGGAAGCTCCTTTTATTTCAGACTAGTTTTCCTCTTGGTGCATGAGGGACCTTGATTTGCTCTGATTAAAAGCACTAGGCTTATGATTACTGAATTTGCAATGGATAAAAAGAGGGCATCTGATAGGCAAACTCTTTTGTTTGTTTAGTTTCAGGGATCTTGGAATTTTACTGCAGAATCAGTTACCAATCCTTGGCATGAATTCACATTAAAACTTAAAAAATATTTTCTGAAAGAATGATTAATAACTCCACATATTATGCAACAGAGGTCAGAATTTTGTTGCTTTTTTAAGGAGAGTTAAAGTCAGAAGGAGAAGTTCCCTTCTGTACTAGTCTCTCCTTCACTAAGGACTACTGGTTCAGTCAGTACTCATTCAACAACAAATATTTAATTTGGTTTAAAGTCAGGTTAGTTTGCACACAGACTTTCAAATTAGCGAGGGAGCAATTATAGCGTAGTGGGTAGGATTGTGGGCTCTGAAATCTGAACACCTAGGTTTGCTATGTTTGAATATGAGATCCATTCTTTACTAACTAGGTAACCTTGGACAAGTTTATTAAAACTCTCTGGGCCTTGGTTACCTTATCTATAAAGTGGAGAAATAATACCGTACCTCATAGGGCTGTTATGAGAACTAAAATAAGTCATGTATAGCACTTAACATATAATATATACTCTATAAATATAAGCAATTATTATCATTGTGAATTATGGAACCCTATCTACACGATAGGAAGGGTCAGGGGAGAGGTGCAGCAGAGAGGGAAAAGAAAAAGAATTGAGAGACTCATTTACTGCCCAGCCGGTGTGGCTCAGTGGTTGAGTGTCGACCTATGAACCAGGAGGTCACAGTTCGATTCCCAGTAGGGGCCAGGTTGCGGGCTTGATCCCGTGTGGGGCGTGCAGAAGGCAGCCAATCAATTCTATCTATCTCTATCTCTCCCCCTTCCTCTCTAAAATCAATAAAAATATTTTTTTTTCCCAAAAATATTATTTTTTTAAAGAAAAAAAAAAAGAGACTCATTTACTAAAACAAAAGGACATGAAGTTATGGGAAGATTTTGAAGGAGACAAAAAGTTAGGGAGTTGACTGATTCATATGATACCGTGAAACTGTGAGAAATACATTTCTCTGTTAAGAGCATCTTTTTTGGAGAGGGCGAGTAAGTTATGTTCAATAAGAAATCCACAGCCTTCTCAGAAGAAGACCATGCGCTACTACTGCACACAATCTGCAACTGTTACGGGGAGAGCCGCTGGCTGCTAGTTACTGCGGAGCTCATGCTTCTTCAGCACAGATACACATCAGATCTACCTCTCTTACTCCTGACCCCACAGCACAGACAGTTGAAACCTAAATGAGGAAAAACAGAAAGTTATCACTTATTTCTAGGATTGTACTTACTTACAGCAGAAAAAGCATATCTTTTTGAAAACTCTAAAGTTTAAAATTATGAACAGGATCTGGCCTGATCCCCAACACCATACTGTGAAATGTGAGATGATTTTTTTGTAGTTCTAAGTACTAGTAAATGTCCAAAAAACAAGAGAAAAAGAAGTTCTGGCAAAAAAAAAAAAAATTCCAAGAGTAGTGACAAAACTTGTAACCCAAATCATTTCTCTCTGGAGTGATTTCAGATTGGCAATGAATTTTCAGGTATAAAAAGTCTTTTGCATGCAGGCTTCTGATCTTTTAAGAAAGAATAGTAGCCCTGGCTGTTTTGCTCAGTGGTTAGAGCACCAACCCTCCAACCAAAGGGTCACAGGCTCAAGCCCCAGGCAAGGGCACGTACCTCATTGCAGGTTCCACAGCCCTGGTAGGGGTGCGTGCAGGAGGCAACCAATCGATGTGTCTTTCTCACTTTGATCTCTCTCTCTCTCTCCCTCCTTCCCTCCCACCTCCTTTCCACTTTCTCTAGAAAAATGGAAAAAGTATCCTCTGGTGAAACAACAAAAGAATATGCATACATTTTACTTGAGGATCTTCCTTTCATTCTTAGAGGGCAATATGGCAATATCTAGGCAAATAGTCTTAAAAACAAAAATGTATAAATTGACCTAGAAGTGGGAATTTATCCTAAGGAAACAATCAAGTGGACAAAGATGGATATACAAAGATATCTAATGCAGCACTGTATATAATAACTATAACTGGAAAGATACCATAATTGGGAAGACTCTAAATGAACAACAGGGGATTGGTGATATAAATTATGGTGAAATCATAAAATGGAATAGTATATAACCATTATTTTATTGTATACCTATAGATAGGATGTCACAGTAAGTTGTTGGAAAAGGTAAAAAAATTATATAGTACCATATTTTGAAAACATACTTATCTATAAATTCACATGTACTTACATACATAAAAAAGGTCCAGAAGAGCATAGATCAAAATGTTAAAATATGACTATCTTGGATAGTGGGGTTAGGTTAATTTGTAAATTTAAATTTTCTCATCTATATAAATTTTCTATATAGGTGGCTTTATTATAATTCTCTTTACTTCATAACCCATTTTTCCCAGTAAATCACAACTCAACAGTCCCACACATACAGACTCATATCACTCCCTGCCCAACATATTAACTCAAGCTCATTACAATTACATTATGCTGCTGCAGAGACAGACTAGAAGGAAAAGATGAAGAGAAAATACCTCAAATGCTGCTAACAATCCCAAGGTACAAATAAGCATGACTTCTTAAAAAAAAAAAAAAATGTTTTCTTTAAAAGGACAATAAACGTGTTAGAAAAAAATAAAATAAATTTTTTTCTTTTTTTTTAAGATATACTTTATTGATTTTTTACAGAGAGGAAGGGAGAGGGATAGAGAGTTAGAAACACTGATGTGAGAGAAACATCGATCAGCTGCCTCCTGCACACTCCCCACTGGGGATGTGACCGCAACCAAGGTACATGCCCTTGACCAGAATCGAACCTGGGACCCTTGAGTCAGCAGGCTGACGCTCTATCCACTGAGCCAAACTGGTTAGGGCAAATTTTTTTCTTCTGAAAAGCATGACTCCTAGCCCTGGTCGGTATAGCTCAGGTGGTTGCAGCATCCTCCATACACTGAAAGGTTGCAGGTTTGACTCCTGGTCAGGGCACATACCTAGGTTGCGGGTTTGATCCCCAGTTGGGAAGCATATGGGAGGCAACTGACTGATATTTGATGTTTCTCTCCCTCTCTCCCTTTTCTCCCCTCTCTAACGATCAATGAACATATCCTTGGGTGAGGATTTTTTAAAAAGCTTGACTCCTATATACTCACTTTCTCCACTAAATATTACTTTGAGATGCTTATTCAACCTGAAACAAACCCGTATCAGCATATATGATGTTCCTTCTGAAGTTTATTTTTTATATCCTTCAGAATATCATTTCTCCTATAAAACTAGGATACCTGATTTCAGCACATCTCCTGGATGACAAGACTTGAAAAATATCAAAGATCTAGCCTCTAAATTATGAAAATAAGCTGGGAAATCTTTAATGTTGCTAAAATAATTTCAAAACAGCTGGACCAGTCAAGTGCCAAAAGTGGAAACCAATAATTCTTGCTAAAATACAGAGGTGAATCATCACATCACGTCAGAGTATTTTTCTGAGTAACCCTGGACTAGACTTAAGGAAACACTCCATGTTGGTCCTTGGCCTAACCCTAAATTGTGTTTATGGTGAAAAGGTACTGTAGGGCCTAGTTTCTACTCACTAGTTAAAACATCACTGTGGCTCTCCATAAATTTGCTTGCTACTACTAAACCACCGGAGACTAAGATCCAAAATGTAGAGGAAGAGAAAAACCATCAATATGATTCTGCAAAATGTGAAAAAGGCAAATTTCAGAGGGAAGAATGAATGAGGAATGAGAGATCATTGACACAAAGGTATTTTCAGATAGGAAACAGCTCCAAAAAGAGAGCTCTCACCCAGTGTGTGGAACAAAACAGTTGGCCTTGATCTCAGAGCCTCTCCCAGCACTTTCAGAGCAGAAACATCCCCGTCGGAGATCCGATGACATCATCCCCAAATGAGAAACGAAGAGGTAGCATGTGACTGACTTCAGTGTTTGAAGTACACTATAATTTGGGGACACTACAGGCTGGCCGGATGTGCATTCCTCAGACAACTGGAATTGTGCCTGAACAGGTCATAGAGAAGCAGTCCCAGACACCCAACTCAATGACCTACCAATACTACTACAGAAATATGTTAATAATTTCTACATAGAGCACAAAGAGACAAGCAGGCTTTTCAGAAGCAAAATGTTAACTCTTAGGGGATGTCTTGGTTGATAAGATTGAGAGAGACACACACACAATCAGCCAACTTGTCTGCTGGACTATCTGAAGCAATCTCTCTGGTCCTCTTAACTTGAAATACTGCAAACCATTTATACTACTGTATAGTCTAGCAAGTGGGAAACACAATGTATTCTCCAAATGAAAATACTCAGAAATTGTCTAAAACAGTGGTTCTCAACCTTCCTAATGCCGCGACCCTTTAATACAGTTCCTCATGTTGTGGTGACCCCCAACCATAAAATTATTTTCGTTGCTACTTCATAACTGTAATGTTGCTACTGTTATGAATTGTAATGTAAATATCTGATATGCAGGATGGTCTTAGGCGACCCCTGTGAAAGGGTTGTTCGACTGCCAAAGGGGTTGCAACCCACAGGTTGAGAACCGCTGCTTTAGCCTAATCAACATCACTGACCCTTTGGGGCAGTGTTTATTCTGGATTAATTCCATATTGCCCTGGCCAGTGTGGCTCAGTATTTACAGCATTGGTCTGCACACCGCAGGGTCGAGAAGGATCAAGTATTTGATCCCTGCCTGGGCAGGGCTTAGTGGTTGAGTGTCAAGCTATGATCCAGGAGGTCACGGTTCGATTCCCAATCAGGGCACATGCCCGGGTTGAGCGCTTGATCCCCAATGTGGGGTGTGCAGGAGGCAGCTGATCAATGATTTTCTCTCATCATTGATGTTTCTTTCTCTCCTTCTCCCCTTCCTCTCTGAAATCAGTAACAATATATTTTTTAAAAAGTAAAAAATATCCTCAGGTGAGGATTAACAACCACAACAAAAAAAGAAAAATATAAGGCAAATAATAACGTATTGAACTATCTACTAGGAACCTGCCTTCCTCTCTTTTTGCCAAAATCTTCCTCAGACTCCAGCAATAAGGAGACTTTCTAAGAATCAGATGTTTATCAATTAATACATATTGTATACAGTCATTACAAATGAACAAAGCGAAATTTCACAGAAGAAAAATGATTGAAGAAAAAGTTTAAAAATATGGAGGAGTTGAGAAAATAAGTTCACTTCACAGAAAACAGTTAAAAGAAACAATAAGGCCCAGTTTGGCTCAGTGGATAGAGTGTCGGCCTGTGGACTGAAGGGTCCCAGGTTCAATTCAGTCAAGGGCACATGCCCAGTTTGCGGGTTCGATCCCCAGTGTGGGGCGTGCAGGAGGCAGCTGATCCATGATTCTCTCTCAAAATTGATGTTTCTCTCTCTCTCTCTCTCTCTCTCCCCCTTCTCCTTTCCTCTCTGAAATCAATAAAAATATATTTTAAAAAAACACAATAAGAAGCTATTAAGAGATATAAACACATATGTAGAAACTAAACAATGCTCTCTTTTCATAGTAAAGAGTGGAGAAGTGAAGTGCAATAGGGGAAATGGGCTAGGAAGGGGTTTCCTTTAGGAAACACCATCAGTCCACTCTCTGAGACTGAATGTTTCGCTGATATTTGGAACAGAGAGAAACAGAGATTCCTCTGCCAGGCTATCAGAAAATAGCATACTTCCTGAAGTATACTTTTATCCTTGATCAAGAAAATATGTCCAGTAAAAAGAAGCGAAAAGAGAATGACAACTTTGGTCTTGTTGCTTTCTTTATGTCAAGTAAGAATAGCCCCAAATCTTAGGAAATACATAGCTTAAATGATAAAATAACCACCTTCCTTCTCTCCAGTTCTGTCTTTGACCTAATGTTATCTCTGTTGTTCACTTCACAGGCTACAGCTTCCATTATCAAAGGAAAACAGGCGCCGAGACCGGTTTGGCTCGGTGGATAGAGCGTCGGCCTGCGGACTGAAGGGTCCCGGGTTCGATTCCGGTCAAGGGCGTGTACCTGGGTTGCGGGCATATCCCCAGTGGGAGATGTGCAGGAGGCAGCTGGTCGATGTTTCTCTCTCATCGATGTTTCTAACTCTCTATCTCTCTCCCTTCCTCTCTGTGAAAAATCAATAAAATATATTTTAAAAAAAAAAAAAAAAAGGAAAACAGGCTTTATGTAATAGCTAGTAGCTAGCACATATCTAAGCAAAGTTATTAA